ATCCAAACTACCTGTGTATTTCCCATCTTAGGTGACTTATTTTTTTATCATTGTACTCTCTTTATAGAATTTATTTATTTATTTATTTTTATTATTTTTAAACTATTTCTTTCTACGACCATCCATACCTTTTTTCTTTCCTTCTTAAGCCTATGCATATTGTAAAACACACTGGAACCTGTTTAGAGGTTCTTCTGTCTGGGTCTCTTTTACTGCCTATCTTTTAGCCTTTCTTGACTGCAGGAGCAAACTTTTAAACTGAAAAGGTATACCTGGATTCTCCGTGTGAGTGGCTTTCAGTGGGTTCCATCCACTTCTTCGGTCATGAAAGCCAAGTGTGAATCTTGCGGCCAGTTGGTTGGAGATTTGTCTGACCAGGAACTGCATTTAACCTTCCTAGAGCTCTAGAATGTCAATGCTTGCACTGTGGCAGGCATTTTTACTTAGTTTTTTGTTCCTAGTTAACATACTAGCTGCTCAAGGGCTCACTGACCTGAAGAAACTGTTCAGCCGAAACTCTTAAAGGAGCCGTATACTCTTGTTTGTTCAGCTTTCTCAGGCTCTAGATGGATATTTGAGAGCTCCAAGTTGGTACACCATTTTGTTGGTGGTAGTTTTTTACTCTTTGGGGGAGGGGGCGCCACCCAGCTCCCAAATAAATCACTCACAGATGCTTATGCTTTATTATCAATGCTCAGCCTTAGCTTGGCTTAGTTCTTGCAAGCTTTCCTTAACTTAAATTATCCCATCTACCTTTTGCCTCTGGGTTTTTCCCATTCTCTTAGTTCTGTAATTCTTACCCTTACTCCGTGGCTTGCTGTGTAGCTGGGTGGCTGGCCCCTGAAGTCCTTCTCTGGCTCTAGATCTTCCCTTCCCAGATTTCTCCCTCTATATCTTCTCTCTGCCTGCCAGCCCTGCCTATCCTTTCTCCTTTTTTGCTATTGGCCAGTTCTTTACTAGACTATCAGATGTTTTAGAGAGGCACAGTAACACAGCTTCAGAGTTAAACAAATGCAACATAAACAAAAGTAACACACCTTAAAATAATATTCTACTACAGAGCACAGCATTATCAGCTGTGGTGTACACAGTCCCCAAGGGAGCACAGTATTATCCACTGTGGTGTACACAGTCCCCAAGGGAGCACAGCACTAGCAGCTGTGGTGTACACAGTCCCCAAGGGAGCACAGCACTAGCAGTTGTGGTGTACACAGTCCCTGAGGGAGCATAGCACTAGCAGCTGAGATATACATAGTCCCCAAGGGAGCACAGCACTATCAGCTGAGATGTACACAGTCCCTAAGGAAACACAGCAGTAGCAGCTGAGATGTACACAGTCTTGACTTTGTATTTATGACACCTGTTGTGGGAAATCTCTCTACCAGGAAGATGTTAAGGAAATGCTTTTTAGTTAATGAAATAAGACAGACTTAGAAAGCAGAAGTCTTGTGTTCTGGTCAAAGATTCTTCTATGTATTTATGGAAAGTTTTTACTTAAAAGTCAAGTTAACATATTCTTGTCATTGAGAACTTGGGATGGAGAGCCGGAATTTCAAATATATTCTTATACCAAAGGTCCAGCTACAAATTGGCGCCCAATATGGGGCAAGAGTTTCCATGTAAAACCTGAGAGAACTTAAGAAGAGATTCTTGAATGGAGCTAAGAGCAGCTTCCTAGTTTGTGTCTCTTATGTGGGACATTATACAGAGATGCTGCGGCATTCAAGCTTGAGCACAGCATGGGGGGGGATTCCTGCCACGGTACACAGAGGCATCTCCAAGCCTTGTAGCATGCTGCATGATAGATTTACCTTTTGCTATAAGGTTTCTGGGCTTCATGTTGCTTGGTGGAGGCACAGAACCACTGCCTCCTAGAGTTGGTGGTGAGCATGGCTCCCAGAGCTGGTGATAAACATACCTCCACTATCCTGAAAAAAACGAGTGGGGTGGAGCCAGCAGTCAAAAACGCAGCTTCAGTCCTAGCCATGCAGCTTCACAATTTAAAAACTCTCCTGGTCAGAAAAGGATTATAGATACACAATAGGACAGATTCAGATGGAGAAAAAAATCCTCTAAATTGTTTACAGTGTGTGTAAAAATGTATGTAGGCTTGGAAGAGAGAGGAAAAGGAGTATAGGTAGCTATATAAAGAAATAAAGTTTTTTTTTTTTTAGAATGAAGGGTATTTGTTTTTTAATTAAATTTCTAAATTTAATTTTCATTTTACATAAAGCCCCATAAAACAAAAATGTAAGAACATTCTAGAGAGAGAAATATGTAAACACACATAACTATCTATCACCTCCACCCATGTGGATGCTGTCATAAGAACTTCCATTCTTCCAAGCATTAGTTTTTCCATTCAGCTTAGTATTTTTGTTACTGTGACAACATGCTGTGTAACAATAACTACACCTTTGCTCTTTCCCCTCTTCTTTTTCTGAAGGCATTGTGCTAAGGATTGGTTGAAATCCTGTACTGATCATGACCTGGCTCTGGATTACACAAATCTATCTTTTACACTTAAGACCTTCTTTGAAATACTAAGAATGAGAATTTTTCTGATCTTATATGTCTGTTTGAAGATCAATAAAAATTTGGTGACCACAAAAAAAAAAAAAGATATTGAGATATAAGAATAGATAATGCTCTCATTTTATTCAACTGGTAAAATCATTCTCCACACAGGTCACAAAATTAAAAAAAAAAAATTTAACTTGTAACAAATAGTGATCTACTGGCTCTATGTGGTGTCTCCTCCCTTCAGGCCCAGGTGCCCCACAAAGGAGATGTGCTGTTTACCTCTCTAGGAACCAATGCCTTGTCATCTATCCATCAGCAAAGCTTTCAGAGTAAGAGTCCCTCACCAACATAATCATCACAACATGGCTCTGTCTTTGCTAATGTTAATTTATGATGGCTTTAAACAGAATTTCTTAAGTGAAATAAATAGTTTTAAAAAACAAAGTCTTTAAAGAGACAGTAAAAGTAATATAAAAAGAAATAAGCCACATAAAGAGAGCCTGGATTATGTATATGATTGTGTTTTGAGTTCTTTGACTGTTAATGAGCTAACTGCTAAGGTAAACCAACATATATACTTTAAAGGTATCTTGACTTCAAAACTTGCATCTAAGGATATGTTGCTTTAAAAAAAGAGGTTCTGCTCTTGTTTCCACAGAGTATGAGAAGCTGTGGATTCCTTCCAGATTAATATGGTTCCATCAAGGAAGACCCCCCCTTTGAGGTCTCCAATGGGAGCTATGGCCCACATGATCCAATATCCAGAAGAGTTTCAAGGCAACAGGCTGAGATGATGCAGCCTCATAGGCTACTATAGTCAAGACTTGACCATAATTCTAAATTTTCTCAGGATCCCCATAAGATTGCCAGCACCCTCAATAGTATGGAAAGCTACAGCCAAATTCCCAAAATATTGTTTATAAATGTTTATTTTTATTTAAAGGGGGTTGATTATAATGGTTAATGGTCATAGCCAATCTCTTTCTAAAGAAAGATGGGGAATATGATATAGAAATGATAAAATGGTTATATTACTGAATCTACTTTCATCCCCCCAAAAAACCTGTTAATCTCAAAATACTTTACATTGGTATGGATTTTGGCTTATTGATACCAATTTAAGGTCATGTATATTTCTACTCTTGTTTATGGTATTATGTTTATGCAATTCATATATAATTGTAATGTATCATTAATACAGATTAATAGTCATCTAAAATAATCAAATTTACAGTCATGATAGTTAAGTTTTTTAGATATACAAAGATATATTTCAATTACATAGGTAATCTTGAAACAATTTAAAGACTTACAGAATATGGCATTTAAAATGTTTTAAGAACTTGGACTTTTCTGGACAGTGAGACATGTCTGCTCCTGGCGGAACCAATTTAATTTGAAGAGGATGATGGGCATCGAAGACACTCCACATGGAGTTTATCTTCTTTTGGCTAAACTGACCATTTGGGCAAGAAACTGCTCTTGCCTGGACTGTTTGACAGTATTTTGTATAAACTGGACATTCAGGACAGATAGGAAAGTGACCACTGAACTTTGCCAAATCAATGTGAGATGGTCCTTCAGGTTCCTGCTTCACAGAAGAAACTGCCAGACATTCTTCAGGACACAAAGGAAAGCAACTGATGAACTTTGCCAAAATAGCTGAACAGTTTAAATTTCCTCCTTCACTGAAAAATCTGTCAGATATTCTAAGTCTATAGGCTTAAGATGGATGCCCCAACATTACAGAAAAACTTTAGTTGACTGTCCAGGTAGCCAGATGTCTCTGTCATTTCTAAAATTATGGAAGTTGCTTGCAATATACTTCCTGTTCACTTAGGTAATATTATATCCTCCTGGGGTCTTTGATGGAGTTAAAAACTAGAGAGTTATAGTTTTCCTTAGTCATGATATAAGGTAAATTAGATATGAAACTTTAGACTCACAAAATAGGATAGAGTATTTTCTTTAATTTTGCTAAATACAAATAGACTAGATATTATAGCTATAATTCTTGCTTGATAACTGTTTTATTATATGTAATTTTACTATGTTAAAATGAAAACCTTCCTTTTTGATTAGACAAAAAAGGGGAAGTGCTGTGGGATCGTCTTTCTGTACACTATGAATACATATTGTTCCTATTGGCTAATAAATAAGCTGCTTTGGCCTATAGCAAGGCAGCTAAGAGGCAGGTGGGAAATCCAAGCAGAGATACAAGGAGAAAGGCAGGGTCAGAGGAGATGCTGAGAGCCACTCAGGGAAGTAAGATGTAATGCAACACAGGTAAAGTCATGAGACACATGGCAATACACAGATTAACAGAAATGGGTTCATTTAAGCTAGCTAGTAATAGCCTGAGCCGTCAGCCAAGCATTTATAAGTAATATTAAGCCTCTGAGTGATTATTTACAAGTGGCTATGGGACTGGGCAGGACACAGAAAGGCCTCCATTTATAAGCTACCATGAAGACAAATATTTTTGTAAAAAATTTATTTCTCTGTAAATACAAATTCCAACATCAACAAACAATAGTCCAGTGGAAAAATACTAGCCATTAACATTGAAAACTTTTTTTCTTAGTTTAATAAATAGAACTTTGGCATTCAAATTTCTAGCTGTAAACCCTACTTAAAAAACAAAACCACAAATAACTCCTTTCCAAAAAGGAGGAAAAACAAAAAGTCAGAAGGCATAAGCCAGCCAGTGGCTTCACATTTTTTTTTTTTTTTTACAATAACTGTATTTCAGTTAAGTCATGAACACTGTATTTACACATGAGGTATTCTGGTGGTTCAAAACCTGAACCTAGTTTACAAGCCCACCAGTCAGTGACTGATTGCACACTCCACTGTGCTTTTTAGTGTGACCAGCTAGCACCTTACTACTTCTGGTCACCAGCCAACATGATGTTAATCTCACGCTTAAGTGTTTAAATTACTACATATATATATAATATATATAAATACACACACATACATACAAATGAATACATTTGAAAGGAATTTCCTGCTCTCTATAAAGAAAAGGCTGGGCTTCAAACACATCCAAATATGATACATCCTCTCATGTCTACTAAGGTAACTATCATCTAAGAAGAAATGGCTCGTTTTAGAAAAGTTCTTAAGTCTATTTACCAAAGAACAAGGTGCAATAATCAACATTCTTATAGCTCATGTAAGAGAAATAAACAGTGCAGGCAAAAAGGCACGAAAGGTTCTCTCTGTATGCAGCCGCAACAGTGTTGCCGATGATACTGATTTCAAAGTACATTCTATTATAGTCAATATTTCATTTCAGTAAGAAGAAATCTCAAATCATCCCCTTTCATGATTAGATGTATGATATATTCATACAGCAATTACCATCAATGTGTTTGGGAGGTGAAGCTGAAAATTTTACTTTTTATATCAAATAGGAGACAGTGTCTCTTCATTTGTGAACACTGAAAAGAACTGTCAGAAATGGAAATAAACGGGATGCAAGAGCTATTGGTGTTTCCAAATGTCATCTGCTCTGTATGGTCATTCAGAGACCACCCTATCACTGTAATTACATATCCAGTGACAGAGATCTAGACAAGAACTCCAGCAATCCAAACCAGAGGCGTGCTAGAATTGAACAGTACTGTGCAAAATAGCCCAGTGCTCAGCTCCTGTTGCTCAGTGACTATTACAGGTATTTAAAGAGCATTCGCCAATGAAACAGCCCCTCTACAGACATCCTGTCAGAGATTCCTACTGAAACAAGAACAGCATTTCCTCACAAGCTTCTATATCCAACTGTCCAATATTCATTTTAGCAACATTTCTAGCTCTTGAATTTTTCTAACAAGCAACTGAAAGTTAAATTCAATTTCACAAAATTACAACCCACAACCACTAAGAAAATAATGCTAACATTAACAGTGAATCTTATTCTAAATATTAAAAGGGACCATGCTCTTAAAAATAAAATCCTTGTATATTTACCTAGTCACTTGAAATCTTGAAATCAGAGGTCACTGAAAATGTACTAAGTTTAAGTCTATTTTTCTGACATCAAATGTAAGGATGGTGCATTATTGTGTCCTTCATTCAGCTAGTTTTACCTGCATAGGTAACAGGTGTCTTTCCTGCGGCAACTGATAGTCTACTTCTGTTCTATGTGACTGTGTTCGAATGGCTTCAGCTTGAACAGACTAAAAATAAAATACTGTGTAACACTTTCTAAGAGAATAAAGACTTTATACACAAAAGCATAAACGAAAAGAAAGTTCATTACATATGGAAATTTACAGATAGATTTACTTTAGAATTTAAGTTCCCTTTTATTTTAGGCTATGTTATTATAGTAACTTCCATGTACACTCTACTTCGAAATGGGGATCAAACACTATAGAATTGCTATTTGCCATCTTACTTGACCTAATGGTAAATTTTTGTTTTCAATGTGATGTGATATTATTACTGTTCTAACAAAGGTGTATCTTAAGGAAGGAGATGGTTCTGAAAAATGAAATGCTGACTAACTAGCACACAACTAGTTCCATCTTCTTCAAAATTCCCTCCAAAGTGGACTACTTTCTATCAAAGCCCTTCATTACTCTCTAGACTCTGGTAAGAGATTGGTATTTTGTAGTCCATTATATCAAATCTATCACATCTGAATGTCTTTTAAATGGTAGTATACAATTTAGAAACTGAAATGTATCAGTAACAGTTTGGTAATTTCTTAAATTTTTTATTCTAAGATACATGAATTAAATTCTTTAAATTTTAGAAAACTAGCCAAAACAAAAATTATTTATTGCAAGTGGCCTGAAAAAAAAAAAGGTATGTGTGTCTTTCTCTATGTGTATATGTATGTATATATATATGTGTGTGTGTGTGTGTATACATATATATTAATATATATGACCATAAATTTGTTTAAAAAAAAACAGCAACTATAAAACCTAAAAACCTAGGACTTAGGAGACATAAGGAGATGCTAACACAAATCAGCACTGGTTGCTCTATAATGCTATAGTTTTAGGTGGCTTTATTTCTGACATCATGATAGGATGGTAAGGACTCTAGCCAAAGAGAAGTTAATCTGTTACTTGCTGCACTGTGGTTGACCCATATAGATGCTATCATCTGACTTTCCAGCTTGGGACTATCTGCACAGACATTACCTTTTGCACAGCATATATTTTTGCAACAAACAATTTCTTGATTGTCATCAAAACATTAGTCTTAAAACCCAATGAATTCATTTTTAAAGGACCATTCTTAGAGTGGCTAAGATCTTCTCTGGGTTAGAGAGTTGGCATGCATATTCACTTCAACACATGGATTTATTAGTAGCCAGATCCCAGGAGAAGGAATATAGTGGATTCAGCACTAAATAGAAGGGAAATTTGTCATCGTGATGTAGTATGACTAACTACTGGAATATAACTATCAAATGACTATGGACAGCAGAATACAGGCCCGTTCTGAACTGAGTATCTTTCTGAGCAATCTCCTCAAAGGCCTGTCCCACTAAGTTTTCATTGTTGAGATTAAGAAAAATCTTTTCTAGGAGCAAGCTCTATACCAGAATAAGCTTAGCAAGAAAAATGGGTATTTGTGTGATCTCAGTCAACAGTACTATCCTGCTGGTTCCACACCCTTTACTCTCCCACCTATGAAGTCCTGCCTGAAGAAAACTGGGCTGCATTAAGAAGGAAGGGAGGGAAAGAGGGAGAGAGGGAGGAAGGGAAGGAGGAAGGAAGGAAAAGAAAATCAACCTATAAAGGGCAATGCTTTGCCTGTATTAAAAAGACTGTAATGAATTCTCAACCGGCAATAAAATATATAATCTTTCTAAAACATAAAATGATACACAGACAGTATTATTTGAAGTTTAAATGGCTGTGTATCTGCTCAAATGATTTGCATTTCATAGTAGTACCCTGTGCTCCAGATGAACTAACCTAAGTAATATCATAATCCATGACAAGCTGTTTGTAATTTAACAAATCTAATAAAAGAAATTAAAATATCATTGAGACTTAGGTTTTGTTTTATGTTACTGTTAATTCATGTATGAATGAATTGGCTTTCTCTTATATTTTAAAGCAGGCACAGAACTGTTTAACTGTGAATGCTGAAATGTGGATAAAAAGCAACTCTGCTAGAGTTACTTTATCATCTTTCTTTTTATAATAGTCATTGAAGGCCACAGAGGGCTCCTATTAATTTTATATGGCTCTGCTTACATATACATCATAGATTACACAGCCAATGAAAAAAACCATCACAGCAGAATTTTACACTGTGAGATAATCTATGACCACTCTGGAAGAAATAGCTGTGCTCAGTGCCAAAATCAGCCTAACTTCACAATCCCACCATCTCAATACATTCACTTTTAAAAGAACTAATGATTTTGCTCCCTATCCTTCTGCATTAGAACATTGCCTGGGTATTGGGTCTAGTCAGCCTGCCTATAAAATTCCAAAATGAAGATTGACAGTGTGTGACTTTCAAAGCCTTGCTTTGACCCTTGAAATCCTCCACAAAGAGACAGACTGAAAGACAGACAGAGACAGAGTGATCAAGCGAGAGAATGAATGAGCAGTCACATGTATACACAGAAAATGATAGGATTAAGGAAACCCTATGCCTTTATCTGAAGAGCACTGTTCACAGCTTGGTCCTACAATCAGTAGTTTGAACATGCAGATTGTTTTGCTCTTTTTCTTGCAGACATTATCTCATTTTTCAAATAGTAACATGATTGTTTGCGTGATTTCATCAGCCCCTTCAAACTTCCTCAGTAAAGCAAACCGAACAATACCAACACCAACACGAACGATGACGACGACAAAGCCGGAATACACCGCCAGGAGCTTCGCCTTTCCCTTCTAAGTCCTACGGAGAAACAAAGGAGGCTAACACAGCAGCATTTCACAACGGGTCATTGTTGCTGTGGACCAACACTTGGTCACTGGGTAACGCAGTTATCTCCCATGTCCTGAGCATAGCGGTCTGATATTGTAGTCCTTAATTCATCAATGTCCCTCCGTAACTGGCACACATCCGAGAGCTTTTTAGTGAGTGCTTCTGGGCTGTGGTCATTTTCAGTCTCTTCAGCTGAACAGTTCATTGCTGTGTAAAGAAAGTATGCAGAGAATGTCTCACCTTTCTAAATAGACATTTCAAGATTCTCACCTTCATCATGGGAACATGATGTTGTACAATGAACACCAGTGAGGCTTCAGTTCAAATTATACATCATTTGATATTAAATAGAACCTGCCTATGTACACTGCTAGTTAAAATATATTAAATTCATATAGCACGCACAAATTCAGCATGCTTGGTGGAAGGCAATATTAGCAAAGTGAAAAAGAATGTGCTCTCATCTTTTCAAGCTCTACTAGAGTACTTAATTCTTTCCCATTGACAAAATCTAGGATAATTTGCATAGAGAAGATGTCTTAAATTTTATGATTACAAAAGGGGGTTTTACTGGCATGCAGACATTAGTTTCAAAAGATACAGCCAAAGTATTAGGACTCCATCATCTCAAGTGAATCAAGTATATAGAGAGTGGCCCGATGTCTGACTAATGAGGGTGAGGCTCCAGTCAGCTAGCTTTTAATTATCTACTCTAGTTTCTCCTTTTAAGCATGTCCCAGTAAAAAAGCAAGAAAACTGTGAAATAAACCCCTTCCAGCTCTGGCATAGCAGTCAAATAACTTTGTTAAACACTAACGAACATTTGCCATGATCAAGGTGTGACGCTGGATGGAGAAGTCAATGACTTATCCTCAATGCTTTCTAAACAATCCCATAAACAACTGAATGTAGAGCATATTGTAGATAACTCACCACTACCCAAAACATACAGAGGCACAGACAAAAGATACAGAGAGCTAACTGGAGAAATGGCTGGGACTTGTTTATTGGTGGGCCATCAAAGCACAAAACAGTCTGATAGAATCTGAGAAACAAGACAAGTACCTAGCCATAAAATAGTAGAACAAGGATTACATCTAAGAGGCATAAGAAACAAGCTACAGAGATAGGTAGAATCTATTCTATCACAGGGAGTATATTAGGAAAATCAATTTGTGGTTTGGACAAAACACTGGCAGTAATACGAAAAATGGGTAGAGAAAGGAGGATGAATATGATAGGTAACAGTCCAGTTCAGGTTATGTGAGCCTGAATTAAGCCTGATACAATGGAAGGAGTAAGTATCAGCTCTAGCAGAGCTCAACTGTCATCAAGTTGAGTAAGGGTCAGAGACTGGGAACAGCTCACAGAGGAAAAGGCAGGTAGGGGGTGGTGGTGGTCATCACCATGAGGAGTGGGACTAGTTCAATCACACTACATCTCTGATGCCTAGCTGAATATAGAGAGAGAAAGAGTTGACTATAATCCAGAGACCAAAGATGCCTTCTAGACAGGGTAAGAGATCAGTATCTCTATGGGGGAATATTGTAATAACAGAAAAAGATGTGAGAAAACAAGTATTCAGAAAGAATAGGGACTAAAAGTAGAAACAAATGAAAACCCCCACCAACTAATAGTCCTTGTGTTCCCCAATATGATTTTTTTCCAAGACAGAGTCCCCTTATGTAGCTCTGCCTGTCCTGTAACTCACTCTGTAGACCAGGCTGGCCTTGAACTAACAGAGATCCACTTGCCTCTGCCTCCCAATAAGGTTGCAGAGAAGTCTATAGAATACTGAGGCTAAGCAGTCATAAAGGTGGATGCAGAACTTGGAGAATGATGTCATGAAAACCAAGGAGGCAGAGAGAATTTTAAGAGAAGTGGGGTAGGTCTGCCAATAGATAACTGAAGGAATCATGAGACAGCAATTCAAGTGAACGCACTGGTTCTTGACACAGCAGCTGGCTGGACAGAATTTCACAACACCGAAGGGAAGGAAGGGAAGGACTCGGAGTGTGAACCTGAAAGCCGGAAAAGAGCATCCACTGGGGATTAGTGTGGTGCAGGTGCTCAGAGGCTTGAACCTCCATGGCATTCATATTAGCATAATTCTACCTATGTAAAGGTTAATAAATGCTGTACTAAAACGCAGATTATAAAATAACTGAAGGGAAACCAATTTTAAATCACTGAAGTCTTTTATATGTGAACTTCTGGTTCTTCCTCCAAGGGATCCATTCTATCATCTGGCATCTTCTCTAGGATCCATGAGGCCTTGGCAGTCCTTCCCGTGTCTATTCAGCCACTTTTCTTCCCTGTGTTCCCACTGTTCTTCAACCACATCTCAATGACAGCACTTACTGCACTGATCTACTCATTCACTGTGGGAGAGGACTTGTTTAATTATCTGCACTGACAGGACCGAACTGAGTACCCACACCACTGAGGTGTCTGATATTCACTGACTAATACTGACCAGTGTTTGTCACATGCCTACACTGGGCATGTGAACAAACCTCCCTCTATGAAGAGAAGGTCAAATTCTGCTGCCCTTGCTTAATACAACATAAGTTTCATTTAATGGGTGACATTCTTTAAGAGCATTTGTTTTAAGCCAAAATACCTATTATGAGGTAATACAGTAGAATATTGTTTGGAGAAAATAGAAATACTCTTGTCACATACAAACCATACTTAGGCAAGCATTCGCTAGAACATGTTCAACAATAGAATGTGTCCAACACAAACTTTTTAATGTAGCCTTACCCTGTTTTAAGCTTTTTATTTATCTATTTCTTCTCTGTTAAAAAGATACCAACAAGACAATATTCTATTCCTGGGAACTACACAAAGAGATGGGCATTCCTACAAAAGGAACTCCCAAAGGAAGGCTCATATCACTTTACTACTGCGGCAGCTCTTGCACAATCTCAGGTAGAAGGGGAAAGAACTGAGACAGAGGAGAGGGGATGTCACAAGAAAGGAGAAAAGCCATGTGTGGCCAAGGCAGCACACCTGTGGGAGAGACTCTGGCCCCCGTGAAATGACTGGCTCACAGTCAGCCACAGGACACACGATACTTACAAAAGCAACGAGTAGTATCTTACCAATATTCTAGCAGCTGATCCACTCGCCTGTGTAAATGCCACAGAAGAGCAACAGTAAGGATCCTTACTGTTAGCAGAGCAGATGGGAAATCCCTGCTAAGCAGCACTGTAGGCACACAGTCACAGACTCAGTGTGGGGAACATCTCTAGGCATCCTGCAACTATGCCCTTGTGGCTTCCCTTATGTCAGTTTTCGTAATGAACTGGTGAGAGGTAAACCTAAAACCAGCAACTGAGTCAGAGACTTATAAAGCCAAAGCAAAGGAGAGCACAGAGCAAACATGGAAAGGGCAGTGAGAATAAAGGAAGGCATCGGCACTTACATCTGATTCCCAGTAACAATGAAAGGTTAGGCTCCTTGCCCTGAGCTCGCTGATTAAGAATACTACACAATGCTTTCAAGTCAAATAAACAATAGGACATTTCCTTGAAGAGCTGGTCAATCACAGTCAGATCAAAGAGCGGCCACTTAGAAAGGAGGGTCTGCAGCCCAGACTGCTCTGCTTCCTGGTCCTGGTCCAGTAACGAGAATGTTTGTCCTATTTGTCTTTGGTTCTGTAAGATAAAAGAAAACAAAGGCCTTTTGTTAGAACCAAGAAAAGGTATTCAAAAGTCATACAGCTTAACATTTTCCATGAAGTCTACAAATAAGTTTATTATCAAGCATCATAGTGTATTTATGTTAACCAAATTCAATCTCACACCATCAGTACAAAAAAAAAATTGACCTATATTTACAGGTCTGACTGCTGTGTGTGCCATCGGACACCCATAGTAAACAAAGGGAAGGATCACACCCCAGCAGCCTTGGGTTCTCAGAGTTCCTTCACTAACAAGCAGACTAGCTATGTATGCATCCCCCACAATGTAACCCATTTGGATGAAAAGAACAAGGATACCTTAATCCTCATTCCATGGTGTTGTTAAGTAGCAGAAGTGACTTAACTATACTGGAACTATTTCCTTTTTTTTAATGGAAAACAAAAACCTTTTTCATACAATATATTCTGATCACTTTTCCCCACCCTGAACTCCTCCTAGACCCTCTCCATGTCCCCTCCCCACCCACCCAACTCGAAGCCCTTTTTTTCTCTTAAAAAAAAAAAAAAAAAACACAAGACAAACAAACAAAACAAGAAACTCACACACACACCAAATCCCCCCAGAACAAAAGAAGCCCTCCCATAAACCAGAAGTCCAAATATATAGGCAGAAGACCACTAAGACAAAGTGCTCCAGCAACCCAAGTGAGACACAAAGTCAACAACAAAACCACTGGGTGTGTTTCCTGACGGTCATCTGTTCCCGGGCCTATCGGGAGGTGTGGTTAATACACCCAGGGAGACTCCACTGAGAAAACCGGAACTATTCAGTTTGAGAAAAAAGTGCTTATGTTTTCATATGCATGGAATTACATTTTATGATTTAAGACACAAAGAAATATAAATATGTCATGAAAGGGAAATGCTAGCATCTCAGTATTGTTTGACTAGAACTGGAAGTATCAGCATAGATTCATGAGTTACCTTCAGAAAACGCTATCCTTATCTCCAAAACTATCTCCCCCTCCTCACCCTGAAAATTGCTAGTGAAACTTAACAGGATTTCCAACTGAAACTGCATTTAAGAATAACTAATCGACTGGGGTGATAAGAAAAAGATGGCTTTTATATATGACTGCTAACTACTACAGGTAAAGAAAATGGAGGACATGTGAAAAACTAACACTTTCAAATCATCTACTTATGTAGGCAATGAACTTGGGCAGAAGCTAAAGCCATCAAGGAAACAGATGCTGGCAAACTGCATATTCACCCCGCCCCACAAATCACCTGCTGTTTGTAGTGGCTGTACCTTTATAACAGGAAGGCCAGGCTGTCACCACCTTAACCTAGAGAGATTAGTATTTGCATGCCACTTGGGAAGGATAATCAAATACTGTACAATGTCAGCAATACAAAGTGTCCATAGCAAAACAACTGACACGAATATCATATAGCCTTTAGCTCTACCAGCTAGCTTACTAGAAACAGAGGGTAAAGACCAAATGGTACCATTAAGGAAGCAATTGGACAAATCTAAAGGGTGTGACAATCTGTAAGTCTATGAGATGAATGTGCTTCTAGTTTCTTCAAAAGGACAGTAACACGGGAAGAATGGCACCTTGGATTTATAAGACACCGTAATGAAATGCATGGGTAGCCCTCGAAGGAATAATGTCTTCCACAGCCACTGAACAAATACTTGGTGAAGTGGAGCAATGTGAATACAGACAAGACTATTATCAACATCAAGGAGTCATCATTTTGATTGGGCATGATAATCGTACTGTGGTTAGTAAGAAAATGTCCTCCACTTCAGGAGGTTCCCATGTACTGTATGTAACATGTCCTTAGACACAGGTCAGGACAGAGTGTGATCTGCAGCAGCTGTGCTGCAGTCCCTTGAGGACTGTGCTCATGTTCAAGCTATGCCGCCTTTGTGCACTCTGGGTCTTAGTGCATGTGTAACATTTGACTCTACCTAGTTAAGTCATGAAAACTGGATATATAAAGCCTGTCTTTTTGTTAGCATTTTCTTATGAAGCCTGATAATTTTATTAATCAACACATCAAAGTCAAACCTCCGGTTTGAACATGTCCCACATCGAACATGCACAAAGCAAGCATTGACTTTAAAGGGCTGGAGAATCGGGGTGACTCACTTGGAGCAGGGCTTCTGTTACCCTGTGGAGGCTGCCTTCTTTCCTTCCTAGCTCCTCCACCATGCTCTTGGCAGTCAGCTTCTCTTTACAAAGTCTCCCTTGCATAGACTAAAATGACAACAACGTCAAAACTGTAGAGCAAATACGTTAGCACATAAAAGTCACATGTCCACCTAACAGACTCCAATACTTCAGATCTTCCTGCCTCCCTAGTCCCTTCTATGACAAAGTTGTCACCTCTAAAACAATTCATATTAGATCCAAAGAATAGGGAAGCAATACCAAAGAAGTTTTTAACCTGTGTAAAACATGTCAAATTGAGCTTTCTATCTAGTGTTATACTACAAATAACTCTTATTTTATTAATTGGTGTTAGGAGTGTATTGGCAACAAAGTAATACTTTGTTACGTTTTTCTTATGCGTGAAACAGTAGAATAAGACAGTTTTTAAAAAAATTATTTTTAGCTAAGCTCCCCATTCTTTTTAGACTGTCCTGAACAGTGAACATGAGCCCAAACTCAGGCCAGAGGAAACTCTGAAAACTGATCTCTTTACTCCATTATAAAATTGCATATCATGTAGATAAGACAGTACTGTGAAAAGAACTCCTAGTGTGCCAGAGCAGCATAGAAGGCACCTTAGGCATACCTGAGTCATCCCAGCTGACTCCTACAGAAAGACCTTGTCATAAACTCAATAGTTTCCTAGGGTTCCTAGGTGTTTCTATCAACTTTCTCCCCTGTGGTTAGACCATGAAATCAATAAACTTACAACCGACCAGGGAAGAGAATTCACTTTTCTACAAGTCTGTACTTATTCTCAACTACAACTGCTTTAGTATACTGACTACCGAATAGCACACGCCCATTATGAATGTGTACCATCCTAACATCTCCGCATGTAAGGGAAAAAGAGGCTCACAGAGGCAGACTTGACACTGACTGTTTTGTAAGGGGCACATATTTAACTTACTGTTTTTAAATTTCATTTGATAAAACTCGGAAAGACTATTTAAAGACTTAAAGGTTACATAAAAAGGAATCAAACCTTTGAACAAGTATATTTTATTTTCTTACACAAACTTGTTTTCCATTCCCTCAAAATGCAGTTGACAATACAACCCCAAAGGAAAGCTCTCTATTTTTTTTCTGACACTGCAACTGTTTTGCAACTTCATTTGACTGAATGATATATGGAGATTTATTATCTACTTGGAGATTTATGCTTCCTGGCCCGACAAGATTATTTATCTACACTCCAGAATTCAATTGATATTTTCTTAAGATACATGGCTTTATTAGAATTATAGAGAAAACTAGCACAGATAGACTCTTTAAAGCTCACATTTTAACAATAAAAACTGGGCCTAAAGAGGCTATTTTCATAATGCAATCCCTTAAAAGCTTAGTGTTTTGCCCTCTGATCAACTCAGAGCCAGGTTGACTAGGAATGACAATTAGCTAGTGACGAATGTGTTTCCATGTAAAACTGAAATCAAGAGAGATGCAAAACAGGCAGACTTTTCTATCAGGACCTGGAAGTATTTAGCAATAGTGTCACAAGAAGGAAAACTGCAATAACCTCAGGCTCCCGTGTCGTACTGGCTGGGTTTCAGGAAGCCCCGTGGGAGAGTGAGTTCACACTCTCCTGTCTGCTTCCAAGGATGACTCTAGCTCTGGTGCTGAGGCTGGTAGACCATAGCACCTCATCCACCACAGCAGTTAATTTCTCCTAAATTGTGTGAAGACGTGTATACATAAGGGTTAGGAGTGGAATAATGCTATTGTCTCAAGAGATGAAAGAACAAACCATGACTGTCACCTACATCTCCAAAGTCAAGCACGGTTCAGGCAGTAATCAACATCATGCTTATTTCCTTTTCAGTCACCCACCACTGAACAGAAAAAGGGTTGTTGAAGTAGTTCGGATATTTTACCTAATGCCCACAAGGGCTCTTGTAATACTTTCTAGTGTTTATAAATGCAAATGCACATTATATTTATTTTGATGTAAAAATTCATAATACCAAGTTAATAGTTATTTTTCTATGCAGAAAACCTAGAAAATTTGATAGACATTTCAGCTAATTTGTTCTATCAGGAATGAATAATAAATATTATTTCACAAAGAATTTTCAAAGCAGTTTTGAAATCTTGTGACTTTTAAAATATAATTGCTACAAATAATGGCTCCCTAATATGTATAAATGAATGATCCATATTTTCTGAAATAAACATTTGGCTGTTGTGAAATGCAGAATGCCAATCTATTTGTGTTTCATTAGCCATGTTAAGGATTAATAAATTAAAGGATTGAATTAGGTTTGAAATGTCAAAAACCTTCCTTAAATTCCAGACTTAACAGTCTTAAGACTCTGCTAAGTTCATAACCTCTTGGCATTAACTATGAGCATTTCTGAAGTTGAAAAGTGGTTTTAAGTGCATGTGTTGTTTAGATATAAGAATCTAGAAATACACAAATAATTCATATGAAGGAAATCTGTGCTTTTGCCAATAGACTCTACATAATCTGGAACCCAACTTAAAAGGAATCATTTGAAAAGAAAAACATACTAGTATTGCACACACACACACACACACACACACACACACACACACACACACACACACACACGAATGCATGTGCATACATACATACACACATGTCCCACAAGAGTTACCCAAACAATACTACTTCATGTGATTATCTATGAACAGATTGTTCTTTGTACTAGGTGATACATCAGTGAACACAGCCAAAGCTGTTGGACTTTGTGGAATTTTTACTAAGAAGAAAAAGACGAAATAAATTATAGCTGGATAATATTTTATATTAGTTTGTTTACTGTTGTAGAGAATGAACAAGAGCATGGTAGGAAAACTGATACGAAATCTCAAAATAGGGGACAAGGGTCCATGGAAAAAAAAGCTGATACTGATGCAAAGGTTTGATGTGATCAAGGGCCAGCTACTGAGAGAGCTTCAGTCGGTGCAGAAATGCTGGGGCAGCTATCGCCTTCTGTTTGAGTAAAGGAAAGCGGAGCAACAAAAGCAGGGTGACTACAGTTCCAGAGCAAAGCAGGACTCAGAAGAGTGTTACAGGCGTCATACATTTATGGGAGAACTTGGATCATTACTTTGGTTAAGAGAAACTACTGACGAGCTCTGAGCAGAAATACGTGATCTGATTTCTGTCCAACAGTATCACTCAAGAAGAGACAGACTATGAGAACACAAGGGTAGAGGCAGGAAGAGCAACACCACAGGAGAAATAAAAATAGCTTGGACGATGCTGAACAGGCGGAAGGTGGAGAGGGATATATTTTAAAGGTCATGGAATTTCCTGAGAAACATGTGCTAAAAATTAAGGTTAAGTTCAGAACTGGGAGGTAGGGCAGGGTTTTCGGTGGATTTTTTTTTTTCAAACAGTTTTGGTGTTTTTGTTTTTAATGTGTTATGTCAAATGTGTTCAATAGTGTGGCAATACTGAACAGGAATCTGGACACACAAATATGAAAGGGAGAATTCTGAGTTGGAGATAAAAACGGGGGGTTTATTGGATGTATATCATAAAAATTCTGAATTATATTAGAGAAATACTTGCACATCCATGTTTATTGCTGTCTACATGCACATCAACAGATGAATAGATATGAGAAAAGGTGGTACATAAACACTCTGGAACTTTATTTGACTACAAAGAAAAATGCAATTGTGGCATTTGCAGGAAAATAGATGGAACTAGAAACTATATTAAGCAATGGGACCCAGAGTTAGAAAAACAAACACTACATGTTTTATCACATATTTGGGTCTTATATTTTAGTTTTTGTGAGAATCCATGTGAGCATGGATATAGGTAATGAGGCAAGGAAAAAAACGTAAGAGGGGAAGGAGGTCTTAAGTAAAGGGAGAATAAAAAAGGTAATCAAATCCATGCGACATGACTTTCGTGAGTAAACTACATACTAAGCCTATCCAGGACCTAGACAGACATAATTTATAAATGAGATGCTAAGGGCAAAAGAGAAAAAAATAAGCCATCACTTCAAAATGTAACAGAAATTAATGAATATACTGTCTGGGCCAAGATATTTGGAAATAAATACTTTATTAATTTGATTCCAGTTTTCTTGAAGAAATAAAAAAAAAAGTATGTTCAAGTATTTAAGGTAAAAGAAAAAATGGCATGAATCACATTCTTCTACATACTTAACTTACATGCAATAATAATATATTTACATGTGACTAAAGATTGGAATAAAATGGAGTATGCAAATTTTAATTTACACAAATAAATACTGCATTATCATAATGTGAACAAATGTATGTAACATACACAAACTGCCAGGTATCATGGGCTCAAGTTTCATGAAAAAAAATTCATGTGACATGGCTCAAAAGTTAAGAGGGATGGCCACTTTTGCAGAAGACCCAAGTTCAGCTCTCAGCACCCATTTCAGGTGTAACTCAGATTGTAACTTCACAATCACCTGTAACTCCAGCTACAGGGTAGCTGACACCTTCTTCTGGCCTCTAAAGGCCTTTGCATTCATGTGCACAAGCCTACACACAAATAATTTTAAAAAATAACATCTTTTTAAAAATCCATGCATCGATTATTGTAAATTTAATGAAACCTTGCTAGATCCACTTTTTGGAAGCACCTAACAGTTCCGTGGTTCTAACATGTAGAACAACAGAAGCTCTGTTAAGAAACATAAAGGTCATAACCTTTTGGGATCAACCCATCAATGAATTCTTGAAATTATTTAAATCATAGATCAATCATTTAACACAGGCAACAGAAGACAGAATGCATTTAATTCTGATACATGAGCGTCAATGAGGGTGATATGGCTGTGATAATTGTTATGCAATGACTAGAGTTCATTCTCTCATAAGGCTATCTGGTAGTGGGTCCCCTCCCTTCCTTACTGATCCATGTGGGTCCTTCCCTAAGCTACATAGTCTATCAACAAAGATGACCTTCCTCACAGAGGACCTTTGTTTCCCCTAGTGTATATGAGTAACTGTGTTCCCTGCTAGAACCTCCAAACAAGCTCTCAAAGTATTGTTGGAATTAGGATGTATGACTCTAAAAAATTCTTCAGTAATATCTGTCCAATGGCTTTCTGTCATACAAAGAGTAAAATCTACACACTGGTCAACTTGTCCAGGCTACTTTCCTCCATTTCATCCCATTTCACTGCTGCAATCCCCTCTCTAGGACAGCAGCCTCCCTGCTGGTACTGGAACACACCAGACAGCTTAGGGCATCTGTTGCTTCCTTTCCCTAGCTTGTGCTATCCTTCCCCCTGGTTATCCTCATTGAAGACTCTTCTCACATATTACCTCCTTTACAAAACTTCCATGGTCACTCTTTCATGTGGAGTCCTCTCTGTCACTGCCCTCTATCCTACTTATGTTTCTAAATAGCACTTTATAACAGAAAAAAATAGGACTTGATGTTTAATTTCCATTTTTTCCAACCCAACCCATTAGACTAACTCGAGACTTGGTTTGCTCACTAACGAAATTCAAGAACTCTGTCCACCGTACAGGTAAGGGCTCCATTAAATATCTGGCAAATAATAAAGGAATTAAAGACCCATTAGCTTCCAAACTTATAAAGTGTACATTATGTGTCCAGAGTTTTGATAAGTTCTAACTCCTCAGCTGAGCTACCAGAGTATAAACACGTAACATGCTATCATTTGGTAATACAGAAAGAGTAACAGTGTTATTAGGAGGAGAGGGAAACTAAACAGAGCACTGTCAATTCTGCCTAAAGGCTGGGGACCATGTTTCCATGCTGTATTAAATACATATTAAATACGCTGTATTAAATAATGCTCTGTAGAATCTTCACAGCTGAGGAGGTTATGATATATGCACATTCTTGGAAGGGCATAGGCACTTAGGGGAACAACAATTTTTACTCAAATTTACTGAGGCATCATGTGCACATATACAAGCACGGTATGCATGCTCAGGATACATAGGTAGGAAGAAACTATAAAAACAGATTGTGGGGATGTCATACTTAGAATCTATTGTTTAACTGGTACATAACAGAAGTATCCTACAAATGACAACATTACATCATCTCTGTAATGGGTGAACATCACCTAACTAGCACTATAGGCACTACAGTACAAAGGCAGTAGGGGAGAAACTCAGAAAACCAAACAGGAGAGACAGCGGTATTAGAGATCTCGACATCAGGCAGCACCAATGGGGCACTGCGGAGAACATTATAGACGTCTGGAGAAAATTTGATGGAGGAAAACAACACAAAATGGGCAGAGTTGGGTTGGGAATATGTTTCTAGATGTTTCTAGTATATGTAAATTAAATGATACGTAGACTAACACCATTCCATTCTCTCTCATGATTAGATCTGACAACCTGAATCAAACGCATTCTGTACCTGAGAGAGATTATGGCCAATTACTGAAGGGAGCAGCAAAGAGGGGAAGAGTCTTCAAATTCCTTTGGAGAACTGGTTCACCAAATTAGTAAATTCTGGTATTTCACAACTGCATACATGCACATTATGCATTCTGCTCAGATTACTAGTAAATAATTTATAATTATCTCAGGTACTACTAATATTATATTTTCATACAGATATACATGTATGTTAGTACTGTTAGGTAATAAAGGCAGTAAGAGTAGATTAGCATACAGATACACTAAAATATGAACAAAATATTCCTTACCTGAATTTCTAAAATCATTCTGTTAATTTCATCCTGCTGGCTCTCTATTATCTAAAACACAGCAAATAAATTAGTCTGAATCTTTTTCCATTACTTTAAAAAAGCGTCAATACCTCAAGAAAATTCAAAAGAGAAGAGTTTATTTGTAAATGTCTTTATTTTACAGAAGCATTCATAGTTAAATATCCTTCAAAGTGCAAGATGACTTGGAGCACCCATAAGTAAAAGTGAAACATTTTCCTGTAATTCCTAATGAAACTTGTTTATTTATAAAAATAACTTTGAGACAGACTTCAAATAATTTAGGGGAAAATATCTCCTTTTGTTTTGGCTTTAAGTTTAAATAGGTTATAATATATTAAACTGCTACTTTCTAAATCAAAGCAAGCTAACTATTTTTGCTATTAAATATCACTAAAATTGTAAACCACACAGAAAACTCTAAGATTCACGTACTCAACAGGACAGATCTGACCTCTGCTCTCACAGCGTCTACTCACCTTACTAGCGGTTGCATTCTGCTCTCTGAGATTATCATTTTCACTTTGAAGCTGTTTTGCATCTAACATGGGAAGGCGGATTCCATCTTCAAGGCATTTTTCTACTTTTTGTTGTAAACTGTTATTTAGAAAAAAACAATTTCATGAAGAAATATCTTAAATCAAACAATTAAGATTCATAGAAAAATATACAAATAGCTATGTACTTACAGAAAAAGAGCCCATAACTAGATAAGAGAGGCTGGTCATTATTTTAGAAATCTGAAGTCAGAGCTGCTTATAGTGTGGCATCCCTAGTTCCCACTGAAGTCCATTTCATAAAGCTGAACTCTGTAATCTAAGCCTGTTCCTTCCTTCTTCCCTACATGAGCATTTCTTGAAACACTGGTTCAGTAGAGTATTACTTGACCAAGATGAGTAGGGTGGGGAGATTAAGAATGTGGATATATGTTCCTGCCTTTTCTCTGAGCATGGCGAAACTTCGGTTGTAGGGATTGCTGTTTCCAACCCAACAGAATTATTTTCTGCCTTTTCTCTGAGCATGGCGAAACTTCGGTTGTAGGGATTGCTGTTTCCAACCCAACAGAATTATTTTCCCTTCATTAATAAGAATGTGGCTCTACAATGCCAACAGCTTGCTCAGGTTTGTCATGCTGTCTATGACAAAGGAGGCTCTTTTGGCATATTAAAAACCAGTCAGTTTCTTCCAGTGCAGTCTCACTGGGTAGATCAACCCCACTTAAGGACAGACTCCATGCCTAGGGATGGCTGGCAACACAAACTCAACGGTATTCTTTTGGACTTTTCGTCTCATTTTGCTTTGCTTGGACATTTTTTATCTTACCCATCTGTTGCTTGTTTATTTTGATTCTGTGTGTGTGTGTGTGTGTGTGTGTGTGTGTGTGTGTGTGTGTGTGTGTGTGTGTTTGGGTAGGGAGGTAAGAGGATCTGGGAGGAGCTGAAGGAGGGAAAAAACGATCAAAATGTATTGTATGAAAAGAGCTTTCTCAATAAAAAAAAATAAAAGATACAGGGAAAGGAGGTGTTAGCCATCAGAATGGAAGATTAGTAATTGGTAAAAGCAAACCATGTCATTAACAATAACAACCAACACCCAACAATAACAGCTGGGGGGAAAAAAAGAATTATTCTCAAGAGTTGCAAAGTCTTCCAGGCATGGTAATGCATAATTGGAAACCTTGCACTTAGAAGGCTAGGATAGAAGGACTACTGTGAGTTCTAGGCCATCCTGAGCTAAATAGTGAGTATCAGGCCAGCCAGGGCTACATATGGCAAGACCTTCTGTCAAAACAAACAAGCTGCAGATTTTGGTTTTTCTTTTTTCTCTCTCTTTTTTTTTAAGCATTATAGCAATCTGAATCCATCTTCTTCAATAAGAAGAAATGACACTACTTAGGTTTGGGAAAACGAACTGATAACACCAGGTGGCAGAATAAGGGCTGTAGATGTATTCATACCTAATGGCCCCAGTGATCATTCATGGGGTACTGATGTGGTGTACTGTTTCGTGATACATTGTTGACTGTTGTAAGGTACTTACTTTTTCAAACTACAACTGTATTTGGCCAACCTGGTGTACGACACTATGTTCCGTGTACTTAACAGCATTACAAAGAGGATAAAACGTACTTTACATTAAACTCTTTTCGTTTGGGGGATAAGTCAGTCTGGACAAGCCCACGGACCTGACTTGTATCCCCAAAGCCCACGTTAATAAAGCAAGCACGGTAACCAGGCTTGTAAACCAGCAGTGGGGAGGTGGAGACAGGCAGGTCCCTGGAGCTCATCCATAGCTAGCCTCACTCAAGTCTCTGACCACTGAGAGACTCTGTCTCCAACACCAAGGTAGATAACTCCAGAGGAGGACACCAGAAGTTGATCCCTGGCTGTCATACACCCACACACACCCACATGCACATACAAAACCTTTAAAACGTAAAGAAGAGCCAGCACTAAGGAGGGAATGTACCACATTGCTGCACACCACCAAGTTAACTTTCATGCATACATGTTTGGATTACGTAGCAAGGCCATTTCCAAAAGTAAGAAAGTTTTTGAAAAGTGGAACTAACTTATGCATTATTATATATTTTACCTTTTCATTTCTAATGAAAATTTTTACTTTAATTTTTCTTAAAAATTAAAAAAAGTTCAGAAACATTATAAAATGTAATGATATCATTCGTAGTCATATGTACATCTGAAGTTCTTTCAAACTATAAGAAATTTCCTAGACCCAAGTAAATACCATTACTATCCCTCAACAATAAGTGACTCCACTGCCAATATAAATACTGGAGAGTTAAAAATAAGCTTTTGCCGGGCGGTGGTGGCACACGCCTTTAATCCCAGCACTCGGGAGGCAAAGCCAGGCGGATCTTTGTGAGTTCGAGGCCAGCCTGGTCTCCAAAGCGAGTTCCAGGAAAGGCGCAAAGCTACACAGAGAAACCCTGTCTCGAAAAACCAAAAAAAAAAAAAAAAAAAAAAAAAAAAAAAGCTTTTACCTAAAAGCAAGAGGAATCTTTAAAGATATTATCTCTGTCAGCCTCAAGATCAAATTGAAAGTGGAAAATGTTTTCTGGAATACATTATACTAATCTTTGCCAATTAAGCGTTTGTGGCTGGCTCGGTGTTCTATAAAACCCTAACAAAAGAGAACACAGAAAGCACCACAAATCTCCACAAGCAAACATGGGACAAAGCAGCACTCCGCAATCTTCCACAACTGCTACGACAGCTCCAACTCCACAGTTTAAGTTTCCTCAATTACTGCGGCCTACGAAACAGAACTCATGCGCTGTTTTCATTTTTGACAACAAAGATAAAATGTTTAAATTAGTGAAGACCAGGAAGTACTTTTAAGACTAAAGAGTTGGTATAAATTATGGATTTCTAAAAAAATTAAAGTGCAAGAAAGAAAAAAATACTAGGATAAAAATGTAAACTCCAAACTGTGACAGTTTTGGGAACTGACATCAAGAAAAGAAATCAGAGAGTTCACAGTACTGAAATCCAAGAGAAAATAGTAAACCAAGTGTATTTCAGATTTCAGGATTTCTTGCCCGCAGTTTTTTGCTGTTTTATTATTTGACTCTTTCAGATAGTTCAATCTATTCACGACTAATAACAATAAGATTTAAAGGTTACAATAGAATATAAACTGATGCATGCAACAGTGTTCTAGGTTTATAATAAAATTTTCCACATTTGAGCACAAGCTGAGGAGGCCAACAAATGCTAGTCACTGTCACTGGAGACTTGGATTTTAAAGTGCAAACTGCTGTGAGATGTGCAGGGAGGTCTGGAAAGTACATGAAAATTGGCCCTTCAGAGAGATGAAATCAAAGCCCATCAATCCCCTACAGTGCACTCTCTATGAAGGAGTGTAGTGTATTTTACAGGTTACTTTCTGCTGTTTAGAATTTTTACTTGTTTTGATAAAACTTTCAACTAAAGAGTTTGCAATGGTATTTTCAGGCTTTAGTTGTTGAGTTGACTTTCTTTGTTCATTGTTTTGCTATTTCCATCTAAAATTTTTGGCAAGATGCTGGTATAATGCTTAAAAATATCAAATTACTACTGATTCAATCAGCTTCAGTGAAATCATATTGCACCTTCCTAAGGTAACAATGATGATCCTGGCAAGTTAAAGAGCATGAAGACATGAAAGGTTCCTCACCTCTGAACAGAAGTCACCAGCTCCTTTTCCTTCTTCTTCTGGCACAGTAGCTGCATTTCTTTATCTTGACATTGCTTCTTAATCTCCTCAAGCTTCTTCTCTGTGTCTATCAAAGTCTCCTGCAAATTCTTGTTTTTTTCTTCAAGGACTTGCAGCTAAGGAAAAATGTTTACAGTTTGCATTGCATGCAATACTAAATATACTGCCATTAAAATTACTACTCTTCTCAGGGTTAAATAGACTGTTCGCTTATAATCATTCTATATCTAAAGAACTTCACATTGCCTCTTCCTTTATTTGAAAGAATTGGGAGAATGGATTACGAAGCAGAAGACTAGATAACATTTCTGAAACAGAAAGGTTCATAATTTTTAAATTTTTTTAAGTGTGGTAAAACATAAAAAATATATAATTAACATCATAACATAACCATGTCTGCATGTATGACTCTTTACTATTAGGTACATTCAGATTGTTAGTGTGACAATTCCCAGAACTTATCTTATGCACCTGTAGCCATTAAATTTCTTTCCAATTACTATTTACCCCACTCCATGGCATCCTACAATACTACTTTCTATGTCTCTGTAAGTTGACTGCTTTTGGATCTCATACAATACAATTATACAATATTGCCTATTTATGACTGGCTTATTTTACTATTCCTGTTTTATTATAAAATGTTCTCCAGGTTATCCATGCTGAAGAGTGTGTAAGAATTTCCTTCCTTTAGAAGACCCAACAATAGTCCATTCTATGTATGTACTATCTACTGTGTATCTACTCATCAACTTGTGGACACTTTACTGGTTCTGTACTTTGATTCTTGTAAATAACACTGTTATAACCAGGGTCTATGAGCACCATGACTCTTGGCAGTGGCTATCCTACTGGGTATTAGGTATTATGATCCTATGTGTTTTAATTCTCTACTGCTGCCTCTTTCTGCTCATGTAATCTCCTATGGTCCTTTAGTGCCTTCCTATATTAATCTCTCTTAGTTTTATAATTTATAAATTAATTTTCTTTCTATATACATCCTGAAATTATATAAACAATTCTCAACCGAAGATGATTTTTACCTCCACAGACATTGACAAATGTCCATTGTTTGCGTTGGGAAAGAGAGCAGCACTATGATCATCTAGGAGGTAGAGGCCAGAAGGACTGATTACAAGAACTACTTCTCCTGCAGTGTACAAGGCAGACTACACAGAACAACTGCTCCCCAAATGGTGTTGGCGCCTAGACTGAGAACCTATGGCTTGGAAGGTCTGAGATAACTGGAGTGAATCCATGTTTCAAGAAGCCTTCACCAGAACTGGTAAAGAGACTGAATGAGGTATTAAGAAAGGAAAAATAGAAGTCAGAGGAGTGAAGAGAGATTACAGATCAAGGCATATTAAAAATTACAGCAAGATTAAGAACTAGTGAAGAAAATAAACATCTATAAACATACTCAAGTCTTGACCAGCCTTGAATCCCAGAGAACATTAGACAAAACCAAAACTAGAGTGAATGTGGATATAAGGTAGAGTAAACAGCTATGTTTAGAAACTACCACCTTTTAAAAATAGAATAGAATGTTAGAGGCCAAAGAGATGGCTCAGCAGATGAAGATAAATGCAAGTCTGATGCCTGAGTTTCATACGTGAAATCTACATAGAGATAGAACAAAACCAATTCCACAAAGTTCCCTCTGACCTCCATACATACATCACACATACATACATACAATAAAAAATAGTTTGAAAAACAGAACACTAAGTAAGACAGTTACCATGTAGGTTTATTACAAAGGTAATCACATACTAACAACAGAAGAGAGATTTGTTTATTCTTTTTGAACAGTTTCGAGTCAATTTATATCTTAGGAGCAGTAATTGAGTATGTAATTTCTAAGTAGCTAAATTTCTAAAACATTTTGCAAGCATTTCAAAGTTGCATGTTTAACCACGTTACCTGTAGACTCTGACTCTGTACATCATCTAGAGTTGGAAGATCTGCCAGGTACTTTTCCAAGGTCTCAATTCTTCTCTGCTTTTCTTTGTTTTGCTCAGATTCCTTCTGGCATTTCTTTTTCAGGCTGTTGATGTATCTATCTCTGGTTTTCAGCTAAAGGAAAACATTATGAATCCTCAATTGTTTTGAGTTACTAAAATTACAAAATCAATGTTTCATTCTTGGGTATCCTGAATTTATCATTGAGTCTCAGCTTACAGTAAAGATCACCAACTGAGTTAAGAGCTGCCTTGTATCATTCAAATAGTCTTTCTCTTCTCCTCGAAACTTGTATAGGTCTGAAATAAGGAATCTGCATGATATCTGTTTGCTTTTACAGATGGCATTTTAAAATTGTACTAAGGCATCTGGCAGTAATGATCAAATTTTTATTGCCTATACATGTACAAATTTGGATAAGGCTATTCATTTCTTTATCCCGTAAATAATGTTGTGCTCATGTTGAAACTGCATTGAGATTAAATTATGTTAAAATTATTTAATTATAACTCTGTATCTTAAAAGGTTTATTAGGTACCAAAAAAGACATAGAAACAAAGCTATACATATTTCACATATTTTCTTAATCATCAAAGCAAATATTCATCTCTAGAGGACAGATTCTAATTTCTAATTTTCTAGAGCTATATCAAAATACTTTACATGAACTAAGAAAAGAAGATACATCAGTTATTTTGTTACTAAAAGCTTGCAAAGCCAGGAGAACTTACCAAATATTTAGAAACAGAAAATGGGTTAAGTGAGCCAATTTACATACTTCAAGCAAAAATATTTTTATATCATACCATAAGTGAATTTGTACCACATTTTCCTTCTTAAAATTCTAATGTAAAGGTGCCTCACTACTGAGGTCACTCTAGGGTTGAGGTATTATGTGAAGTTAACATCTACTACAGAACAAGAGCAGATCATCTTAGTAAGCCCCAGTCTGTAGAGGTTTAACTGGAGATTTGACAGACTCATTTGACTCTACTAACTTTAACTTGCACGTCCCACATTCACAAACTCTTTCACAACTGAGATCAATTACAAACAACCAACCCAGTCAACGAACAGGCCAATGAAATGAATCAACTGGCTATTTTCAAGAGATGAAGTAGAAATGGATAATAGAAGAAAACAAAAGGTTCAACGCCCTTAGCATGTAAGGGAAATGCAAATTAAAACTACTCTGAGATTAGATCTCACCCTGCTCAGAAAGGCTCCCATAAAGACAGCGAATGACAGAACCACAATGAGGATGTGGAGGAAGTGGAGAAAATGTAAATTAGCCCAGCCACTATGGAAATCAGTACAGCAGTTACTCATAAAACTAAAAACGGAATTATAACTCAGCCTACACTGCTCCTGAGCATATACCTGAAAGACTCTAAGTCAACACCCCACAGAGATACACATCCTTGTTTATTACAGCATTATTTACAACTGACAACCTATAGAATCATCCTAGGTGTCAATAAGCAGATGAATGGATGAAGACAATGTGATGTTTTAATACATACATACACACATATCACAAACTCTCTCTCTCTCTCTCCTCTCTCTCTCTCTCTCTCTCTCCTCTCTCTCTCTCTCTCTCTCTCTCTCTCTCTCTCTCTCTCTCTCTCTCTCTCTCTCGTGTGTGTGTGTGTGTATGTGTGTGTATGTAATGAAGTTTAATTCAGCCATAAAGGATGGGGTTATGTCATTTGAAGGAAAATGGATGCAAATGGAGATCATCGCATTAAGTAAAATAAGCCAGACTCAGAAAGTTAACTACTGAATGTTTTCTCTCATTTGTGGATCAAGGTCTTTTATAGATACATAAAACCACATATGTATGACATGAAATCTACCGATTCAGAGTAAGGGGCTCCAACTTACTAGCTTGAGGCAAGTGTCTGAAGATAAGCTTCACTTCATTCCTCAGTACTGTATAGTCAATGAGACCAAGAAACAATTAGAATAAGGAAACGAAGGGTCACTGGTGTAGGCATCTGGTTTTAGAAAATTCACTACTAGTTAGAGAAGTATACTAAAGACTTTTATTCCTCAAGAAGATCCGTAAATCTCTGCCGACGGCACAAGTTTCTTGAAAGTTGGAGCATGTAGCACTAATCACTCTAACACAAATGTATAACCTGACAGAGCGCCTGGACTAGGGCAAACGACGCACAAGCATGCTCTGCTGAAGAAAGCTGTTGATCCACCACAATCTCACACAAAGTACTCACCTTTTCCTCCAGCTTCTTCTTCTCCTCACTAAACTGGTTTAGTTTTTGTTTGAGGAACTCGTTGAGCTGTGAAACTTCCTTCTCAGTCGATGCTAGTTTTTGCTCCAGTTCTTCCTGTTGGGGATGGGATAGTGACTGCTCTGAAAATGGAGTCTGGACTGAACTGTTCTCATATTGTGGCTATTGGGAAAAAAGAACAGCAGGTAAGTCTTCAGAAGTTTGCTTGTCTTGAACAAATAAAAACAAAATGGGAAGGGGTCACAGTGCAATAAATACCTATAAGCTCTAAAAACAGACTGTCCTCAAACTAAATCCTCACTCTTCTGCTTCCTAAATAAAGGCCATGATTAAAGCAAATCAGTATCACTAAGTCTTGGTTTATTCATCTAAAAAATAGAAATAATAAAGCTATTTTGCAATGTTTTTAAATAAGGTATGCAAGCTCCTAGCACACAGTAAAAATTCAATGAAAGGCAGCTACTATTTGGTTTAAAGGTATACTGAAAAACACAAATAATGTATTACACACCTTCATCCTATAGAAGTGAAATTTTTAGAGAAGTAATTAAACACAAACAAAAAGCTGCGTGTGGTGATAAATTCCTATAATCCCAATGCCCTGAAAACTAAGGAGGGATTTGGGAGACCAGCATGAGTTAGACAGAAAAGACAATGTCTCAAAAATGCAAGAACGTTTTCTTCACAGGTGATCATTTCAACTATTTAAACTCAATAAGCATTAATAGACTGGTTCTATAACTAAAAGTAAGATCCGTAAAGTCAGGCTTTTTGTCCATGGTAGGGTGTGACCATATACTTGTCCAGAATTGTGCCTGGTTCCATACAAGTGCCCAAAGATAATCATAGAATGAAAAAAAAATAGTAGTGCTTCTTCCATTTAGAAAGAAATTCTCCATTCTAAATTGATGGAAATTCTTCTATAGAAAAAGATGAGCCTTATGGGGTGAAAATTTGGAAGGGATAGACAGAAAAATACATACATTCCTTTAGATGAATCAAAATGAGTATCAAATTAACAGAGAATCTACTATGCATTCAACCTATATTTATTTACAAAGTATACCCCATTGGCCAAAATTTTAAGGCTAATAAACAAGGTTACAGAAAAGGGTCCAAACCTACAGCCAACACTAAACTGCTAGGACGGTGGCAGGTGTAGTAGTTAGGGAGGTGGTAGAGAAGTGACTTTGAACAGGTCTTAAAGGATGAGTGCTTTGCCAAAAGGTAGGCATCCATTCAATATGTAAGTAAGATCTGTCATACACAGGAATATTTCATTGTTGCAGACTCTGGCACTAGCCTTAAAGAAATCAAGTTTTAAAGGAGAAGCCCTTAGATAATTATAGCACAGGAAACAATAAAATGAGGTACTCAAATAGAGGTCACAAAGTACAAAGTGTGGGAAAGAGGACAATGAAGGTATCATTGGGAAAATGAATAAATGGGCATTAGTGGGATAGTGACTTTTGAGACATTTCTTTAAAAATAGGTGGATTCTGCTGTGGTGATTGTTTTTGGTCAACTTGATACAAACCTAGACATATCTGGACACTGGATTTAAGACTAATTTCAAATGAATATGAATGTTCTAGGGCAAACACTAAAGAAAAATTATTGAAATAAAGGAAAATACTCATATAAAATGTTTACTTAAAATGACAAAAGAGAAAAACCGTGTTACATCGGAACATGGTAACACAAACAAGACTATAAAATATTCACATATGTGGCAGTTATTAAGTCAACTATACCCATGATCACTATGAACATCCCTGGTTTAAGTGCACCAAGACAGAGATCATCATAGTAGATCAAAGAGCAAGATCCCTATGTGTCTTCTATGGGGAACCCTTACTAAGAATACAAAACGGTCTTTAACTGCAGAAAAGAGTAACAAAATACTTGACAGAACTGCAAGAAGAAATACATGAATCAACCATAGTCACTGAAGACTTTCAACAGCTGATCAGGAATGGCCAGCCACAGAAGGCAGAAGATCAATGAGGACGCACTTGCTGGCACAGGCCCTCAAGCAGCCAGGTGACCAGTATCTAGACTACCCATTCCTCAGCTGCACCACACGCTTCTCAAGTTCCTTTGCAACAGTCACCAGGAAAACAGCATTCTCGTTCATAAATCATATTTTATAAGCTGAGAACTCATCAGATACCTGCCTTCAGACCACAGGTAAATTAAACTAGAATGCAAACACACACACACACACACACACACACACACACACACACACACACACACACATACACACACACACACACACACCAAAAAAAACAACAACAACAACAAAACCCTGGGACATTTCAAAACAAAGCACTGCTAAATAATATATGGCTTAAAAAGGAACTCTCAAGGGAAACTTAAAAATGGTCTCAGCTAAAAGATAACTGAAAATTTGTAAAATCTAAATAAAGTGGTGCTTAGAGGAGAGTTATACCACTGAATATATTTTACATAAGAAGGGTTAAATTCATCTAAGTCTCCAATTCCAGTAAACTAGAAAAAGTAGAGAAAATTAAATTCAAAGTAAACAAAAAATAGAGCAAAAAACAATGAAATTAAAAATAAGATACAGGTCCAGGCGGTGGTGGCACACACCTTTAGTCCCAGCACTCAGGAAGCAGAGCCAGGCGGATCTCTGTGAGTTCCAGGCCAGCCTGGGCTACAGAGTGAGTTCCAAGACAGGCACCAAAACTACACAGAGAAACCCTGTCTCAAAAAACCAAAAAAATAAAAAGTAAAAAAATTAGATACAGGAAATTCAACAAAACAAAAGTTGAGCATTTATTAAGAGCAATAAAAATCAGTAAATCTTCAGGTAGACTAAGAAAAGAAAATGAAAGACAACCAAGGTTACTAATGTCAGAAATAAAAGAAGTACCATAATAGAATTCCTCCAATCCCAGAAAACATAAACTCAATGAAAAGGAATGATACCCGCCAAAACTCACATACAAAAGAAACCTGGAGACCTTTAGTATATTATTAAAGAAGTTAAATACGTCATTAGAACACCCTAAAACAGAAACCATCATTCCCTAAATTAACCACCGAATGGACGCCCCCACACACACATACACATACACACACAAATACTATAAAATTACCAAATCAGAACAAAAGGAAGAAAAGTGGTGAGAATCTAGAGCATCTGAACTGGAGCAGTGACAGTAGATCTGACAGGACAGGAAGAGCCACAAAGGAAATCATTGATAAACTGACTTAGAGAGCCATCTACTGGCCTCCAACACTGCTCAGATACCTTTTTTTAAAACATGCTGTGTGGACTGGTGGCTGTGGAGCCCCCATGGGATTGGACTAGGCCCTCTGGATATGGAAGATGGTTGTTTGGCTCAAACTGTTTGGGGGGCACCCAGGCAGGGGGATCGGGATCTGTCCCTGGTCTATGGGCAGGCTTCTGGGAATCCGGGGCCTGTGGTATGACACCTTGCACAGCCTTGGTACAGTGGAAAGGGGCTTGGACCTGCCTAGGCTCAGTGTGCTGGGCTCTGCTGACTCCCCATGGGAGACCTCGATTTGGGGATGTGGGGATGCGGGGTGGCTTGGGAAAGAGGGCTGGGGGGTGGGAGGAGGGAGGAGGGGGGAATCTGTGGATGGATGTGGAGTAAGTAGAAAATTTCTTAATAAAGAAAAATGAAGAAAAAGAAAACATGCTTTTGATAATATAATAATTGTATAATCCAAGAATAACATTTATTAAGGAGGGAGTTAGTTATAAGGAGATATTGAATGGTTCTATGAAAAATACTGTTTCCAAGACAAATTAGTTATTTAGCACAAGAATACTATTTTCAAATAACTACACTATCAGTCTCAGCACTATCCCAGAGGGAACTGCTGTTTTGTAATTGAAATCAAAGTAGAGTACAAGGTAATGAAGTATTATGATACATGTGTAATCAAAGTAAAAAAAAAAGCTAGCTAGATAACTATGTTAAATGCCCCTAACTTAAATTATACCTACTTGGTTTTTACTATTTCCTGATTTCAATGTCTAATTAGTTTAATTTTTACAAATAACACATTTGAGGGTACAATGAAGGAAAAAATCCACTTCAAATGAGCTTCTGACATCTGAGAATAAAGGCCTTAACAAAAAAATAGCAAAAAATAATTCCACAAACAGAAGCACGCATCTCTAGGAAATGTTCATATCTCACTTTTTAATCCCAATAAAAAGACTAACAGTATTTTTCTTTGGGAAATAAATAGGCCCATTATAAAGTGTATACAGTAAAATATACAAATGAGTTTTAAGGAAAAAAAACTCTTAAAAGGAGAGAGAAATAGTTGAAAACAATGGCCCTATAAGTTTTAAGACAGCAGAGACATTATGTCTATATTCCCATAGGATTGCATAGGCAAACAAAAAAAAAGTCAAAATAAATCAAAACAATAAAATCATACCAAATTAGCCAATCAATAAATGAGCAAATGAACAGTTTTCAAAAGAAAAAATACAATGGCTAATACTTGAAGAAATGACCAAAACCTTAGTCATCAGGAAATGCATACAACGAATTCTATCTTACCCCAATCAGAATGGCTATCTTTTTTTTTTTTTTTTTAAGCCAGCAAGGCTGGGAAAGAAGACCCATTAAGCACAGCGGTGGGAATAAAAACAGGTGCAGCTACTATGAAAATAGTTTGGAGGTTCTTCAAAACAGTACAAACAGTGCTGACATGTGATCCGGCACCACCACCCTGGCAGGAAGGAAGCTAAGCATACCAGAGACCCTGTCATGCCATGTTTATTGATGCACTATTTGCAATAGTCAAAATATGGAACTAATCGAGATACCAATCAACAGATGAGTAAGGAAATATATGTACACAAGACGGAGTTTTGTTCAGCTCTAAAGAAACATGGAACTGTTATTTGCAGGAAAATGGATGAAATGAGATCATCATGTTAAAAATAAGCCATATGTAGAGTCTCCATTTAAACATACACACATGCATATATATAACAGAAATTTCCTTTCTCAGAACTTTAATTTACAAAGATAAATATATGTGAGGAGCAAAACAATATTTATAAAAGGTTACTCTTCGCAACATCATTTATAACATAACCAAATGGCAAACAACCTTAATTTTAGTGTGTAAGAGATGGTTGAATAAATCATGATTTTTATAAAATAAAAAATTATATAGCTACAAAAGCAAATGAAAGTGGAGTGGTTTATGTAAAATGATGTAGAAATAGTTATTATATTTTGTATAATTATTATATAAAGAATGATACCAGGTACAAAACAATGTGCATATTCTTAGGGGCTTTTGTAAATGTAGAGAACTAAAATGCACTTTTATTTGTTTAGGATATGCATCAACTCTGGAAGGACACCCTAGAAACTGATGATATAGCTTATTCTGTATGTGTGTTGGAAAGGGATAAAAAAAGGACAAAGGGAAGGAAGTAGTTGAGCACCTTTTACAAACAAACATGAACTATGCAAATTCACTGTTGTTTCAACACATTGACTTAAGGTGCTCTCGTGTTATAAATAAAGCATACTGTAGTACAGACTGATTAATCGGCTACAAACTATGACGAGTTCTCTAGTCTTACCTGCAAACTGCTCATGTAAGAGTCCTCACAATTTACATAATGTCCTAGCATGGCTTGTTGTGCCCGCAGTTCATTATCCCTTATCCTTTCGTGTAGGTGGTTAATTTGTTGCTTCTGCCTGTAAAACATAAATTGAAGTCATATTATATATATATATAATATATACTCTTATATATTATACTCTTCTAAGAAATAGTGAAGAGAAATTTTAATATTCTACTACTTTTCAAAAAGTATGTAAAAATTTTGTCTCATCTCAACCACTGGGGGAAATTAGTTAATTAAATACTTTTCCTGTGTGAAAGAAAAGAAAACCATGGGGTTAGAGAGATAGCACAATATATGCTTTCCACCCAAACATGAAGAACAGAGTTCAAATCCCCAAAACCCATGTATATGTAGCATTCAGGATAGAGACAGAGTCCCCAGGGCAAGCTGGCTAGCTAGACAAGCTGGAATTGGGTAGCCCTTGGTTCAGTTAGCCATCCTGCCTCAATAAATAAAGTGAAGAAAGGTCTAGGAAGACATCTAAGATCTTCAGGCCTACACACATACACAAATACATTTAAGCATACCAAGCACATATATGCACATATGTAAGTAAATATGCATACACCACACACACACACACACACACACACACACACACACACACACACACACACACACACAAGAGGAAAAAGCAAGACTGGAAGAAGTTGCCCACAACACAATAATAATATGTGTAATATATGTGTGTAAACAAATGTTTCAATTCCTGAGCAACAGATTCAAAGCTCCTCAATAGAAACTATTACTCAGAGAAAATTTAATAGATACTCTTTCAAAAAATTAACAGATGTTTATTGTTTCTTTTTAAAAATTTTCTCAGAAACTAAATTTTTACATATTCTAATTCTTTTCCTTTACCGAATTCCAAGCTAGGTTAGGTTATTTTTTTCTGTTAACATAGTTGTGGTAATTGCCTGAGGCATGTGTGGCCTGAGGTCTCACCTGTGGCTAGCATCTGAAGCAAAGGAAGGATTGCTGGGGACCATGTCTTTGATGCTGTGGAATCTAATGCTAGTTCACCAACATTAGAATTGACCTGTAAAGCTGACCAGTTGAGATTGGAACAATACACTTAAAAAGAATCTACAGTTGATTCAGTGATGCTATGTACCTGAATATAAACAACTACAATGGAAAGTAAACTACCAGAGCTGTACTTAGATGTTGAAATTTAACTGATCACGTGATGCAGAATAACCACCACTCCTCCACTAGAGTGTCCATCTCCAGACAGACACTTAGCCTAAGTCACCATTAATACCACTTTTCCTCTTCATTTTCCCTCTCTGGTTAGCACAAACATTGTGGGTTTCATGACGGCATCATCATACACGTGTCACACTTTGCTCGCATTGGTTCCCTTCCCAGCATCCCTCTCCCAGGTCTCCTGAATCCCATGTCCGTTCCTTACCTTCCCTCCTTGAGTTTCTCATCACATGTATTCCATTATTCTATTTCCTCCCTCACTTAGGATCTCTCATGACCCAACTCCCAGTTTCATGAACTACACACACACACACACACACACACACACACACACACTTTTAAATTTAGGTTCCACACGAAGAGATTCCATCCATTTTTCTGAATATGCTATGATTTCACTTTTTGTTGTGGCTGCCTACAACTCCAATGTGTGTATGTATCATCACCCATCATTTTATCCAGTCATCTGACAGACAATCCAGCTGGTTCCATGTTTGGGTTACTGTGAGCAGTGCAGCAATAAACATGACATATGACAAGTATCTCTGTGGTATGTTGACTTAAGAGTTCTTCAAGTATATGCCCATAATGGTATGGTTGAACCCCGTGGATTTCTATTTTCAGTTCTTTAAGGACCCTCTACAGATCCCTGCAGTGGCTGGACCAGTTTACACTCCTACCAGGTGTGAATAAGAACTGGTCTTTCTCCATATTTCCTGTATCAGTCAGAGCTCGTCTCACCATAATTTTGCCACATAATTTCTTGAAAACAGGCATTCTGACTGTAGTGAGATGAAATATGAAAGCAGTTTGAATTTATATTTTCCAAATTTTTCAAGTATTTATTGGCAATTTGTGTTTTTCCTTCAGAAAATGGTCTATTCAGTTAATTAGGCCATTTACTAACGGGATAATTTAGTTTTGTGATGTTAATTTTTACGATACTTTATACTAGTAGTTTTTTTTTTTTAATTTTCCGGAGCTGAGGACCGAACCCAGGGCCTTGTGCTTGCTAGGCAAGCGCTCTACCACTGAGCTAAATCCCCAGCCCCAAAGTTAGTAATTTTTTTTCATTCTGTGGGTTGTCTATTCATTCTTCTGGTCATTTCTATTGCTGTGCTTGTTTTTTATTCATTTGTCAATTGCTGACACAGCCCAGCCAGTGAGGCTAAGTCTCCCAGAGCACTTATCACTTTTATTACTAAAGCAGGTAATACATGAGGTGATGTTCACAGCTAGTTTAAGCGAATACAAGTGCAGCAGGGAATACACCTAGTGTTAATGGATTATGGGTGTTATCTTTGGTCATGTGAAAGAGCCAAGAATATCCCTCCCAGGCCTTTGTCTTTCCCTCAGAGATAATGTGACCATGCCAGGGCATTCCCTTCATGTCTTTGCTTTCAAGAGCTTCCACTTACCACAAGGTGCTGGATAGTTTTATGTGAACTTGACACGAGCTGAAGTCATTTGAGAGGAGGGAGTCTCAATTTAAAAAAAAAAAAAAAATGCGTCCTTAAGATCTGGCTGTAGACAATACTGTAGGGCATTTTCTTAACTAGTGATTGATGGCGGAGGGCCCAGCCCATTGTGGGTGGCTCCATTCCTGGGATGATAGTCCTGGGTTCTATAAGAAAGCAGGCTGGGCAAGCCATGGGGATCAAGTCAGTAGGCAGCACCCCTCCATGGCCTCTGCATCAGCTCCTGCCTCCAAGGTTCCTGCCCTGTTTGAGTTCCTGTCCTAACTTCCTTTGATGATGAACAGTGCTGTGGAAATGTAAGCCAAACAAACCCTTTCCTCCCCAAGTCGCTTTGGTCACGGTATTATGTCACAGCAATAGAAACCCTAACTAGGACACACAGTTCGGCAATTCTTCCTAGGACACTTTGTGGAAAGAACATTCTGCACTCTGCCCCATCTAGAGTTTAGTTTTCTCACACAGGCTCCCACAGAGTGGGATTCCCTCTTCTTATGAGCAAATCCTTCCTTATGCCTGTACTCTACGTCCTCCTCTGGCAGTGAGATGCAAACTTCCAGGTTTGCATTAAGGTAGTGAACCCTTCTTGAACTGCTAGTTTCACAGGGTGAGGGATCTAATCTTATTCTTCTACATGTAAAAATCCAGTTTTCCCAGTACCATTTCTTTGGGGGGGGGGGAGTTGAAAGTTTATATAAATTTAATTTATATAAATGTTTTAAAATGAGGTAAAATATACCTCTCATAAAACTTATCATTTTACCTTTTTCAAGTGTACGATCCAGTGGTCTTAAGCACACCCACACTGCTGTGTGTCCACCACTACCGTCTATCTCCAGGCCTTTTTATCTTGTAAGGCTGTATATGAGACTTTTCTTTTCTCTTTATTGACTCTGGGAATTTCACATCATGCACCTTAATCCCACTCATCTCCCAGTCCCTCTGTATCTGCCCCTGTCTCTTGTGCCCCCCAAAGGAAAGCTAAAAGAGATTAAAAAGAAGATAAAAATAAACAATAATTTTTTAAAAAGGAAGAAATACTTTGCTCCTCTGTCTTTCCTGTCTCTCCACACCTCTTCTTTCATCACAGTGTCATCAGAAGCTGCTATGTGTCATGCAGTAGACCCTTTTGTCCAAACAACATTACTTACAAATGTTCATTGTGTAAGGAGTTGTTGGTCAGATTCAAGGCCTCTCTGGCTTTGGTACACCATCAAAACTGGACCCCACCAGCATTCCGGCCCAGCTCCTAATGGAGCTCTGCCCACCTCCCACCCCCATATTTGGGAAAGCTCATCCCACCCCTCACCATGGGCCTAGGAGAGCTGGCTCAGTCCCTCACCTGAGAGGAGCCAGTTCCAATGACCTAAACTGCCCAACGCACCTGCCACCCAGGCACACATCTAAGGCTTGGAGTTGGCACTCCCCAACATCTACCCCATCTATGACCTACTGGAGTATTTTAAGGGACTGATCCTGCAGAACCATAGCGGCAGGATCTCTATGACTCAGGGCAGCAGCAGGATACCAGTACCATTTCTTAACAAGACTAACTTTTCTCCAGTGTATGTTTTTGATACTACTCTGGTTGTAGTTGTGTAAGTTATTTCTGGGTCCATTATTGGTCTACATGTCTATTTTTGTGTCAATACCATGTTGCTTTGTTACTGTGTTTCTGTAATAATTTGAAATGGGGTACAGTGATACCACCACCATTGTTCTAAGGATTACTTTGACTACTAAGGGATTTTGTTCTTCTAAATGTTCTTCCTTAGGTTTTTGTCTTGTCTTATTGATAAGAGACAGTTTTAAGTATACCAGGTTGGTTTTGAACTCACTATGTAGCCCAAGGGTGGTCTTGAACTTTTGTGTGTATTTGTTATTCTTTCAGAATTTCATACATGTATACAATGTACTTTGATTACATCCATCCCCTCCCCACGCTCCTCCCTCTAATTCCTCCTAGACACCTCCCCCACAATGTCTCCATCTCTCCTTCATGTATTCTTTTCTGAAAAATAACTGAGTCCAATTAGAGCTTCCCATGTGTGCATGAATACAGGGCCATCTACCAGAGGACGGGCAACCTACCAGGAACAACATCCCTGAAGAAAACTGACTCTCTTCCCCCAGCAGACATAAACTGTCAACAGTCCTCTGCTAGGGGAGGGCTTTAGGATTCCACCACCCATGCAGGATTTTGACTGACTTGATCTTGAGCAGGTCTTGTACCGGCAAGTTACTGTGGATGCATGTGTGCAACAGTCCTATCATTTAAACTGTTTTACAGAAACTTCTAGCTCTTACATCTTTCCACCCCATCTTCCATAATGATCTCTGAGCCTTAAGGGGGAGTGAAGGAGGACAGAACTCACACTTGGAACTGTAAACTGGGTGAACAACCCATGGCTACACAGGTCATAGGCCCCAGGGGAGAAGTTACTTTTATTATTTTGGTAAGTGGACATAATATCAAACTGCCTTCTTAATATCGATAAAACAGTGTACTCTCTAACCTCAACAAAAAAAGATTCACACTAAATGAGACCTTGAACTTCTTACCCTCCTGCTCCTAGGTCCAGAATGCTAGGGCTACAGGTACAGATACCACACCTAGTTTATATGGTGATGGGAACTGAATTTGGGGCCCTGTGTATGCTAGGCAAGCATTCTACCAAGTGAACTATATTCCCAGCCCCAAACTGAATTTTAGAATTTTTTTTCTAATTCTGTGTAAGAATATCATTGGAATTTTGATGGCAATTTCCTTTGTAGATTGCTTTTGGTGAAGCCATTTCTATAAAATTAATTCAGCTAATCCATGAGCATGATAGGTTTTTCTCATCTTCTAAGTATATTCTCCAATTTCCTCAGTGCCTTAAAACTTAAAACTTCATAGTAGAAGTTTTTCATTTCTTTGGTTAGGCTTATTTCTAGATATTTTATTTTTATTAATGCTATTGTGAATGGGATTTTCCCATCCCTTCTTAGTGTATTTATTTATTGGTATATAAAAACATTACTTATTTTTTAATTTTTTGATTTTGTTTCTACTACTTTGATGAAAGTGTTTTTCTGGGCCGGGTGGCGGCAGCGCACACCTTTAATCCCAGCACTCGAGAGGCAGAGTCAGGTGGATCTCTGTGAGTTCCAGGCCAGCCTGGGCTACAGAGTGGGTTCCAGGACAGGCTCCAAAGCTACCCAGAGAGACCCTGTCTCGAAAAACCAAAGTGTTTTTCAGGGCTAAGAGTTTTAAGAGGACTCTTTATAAGTGTAGGATCCTCCCCTACACTAAATGAAGTCATGTCCCCTACAAAGAGAGGTGAGCTCTTCCCTTCCTGTTTGTACCCTCCCATTACTACACGCATGACTCAGCTAAAGTGATAATGTCAACTCCCCTTTGTAAAGCATTACTGCTTCAATCTCTCTGAGGGTTATAGGTCAATGTAAGTCATCCTAAAATGCTGAGTATTTGAACATCTATTTCATTTTTAAGCTTGGGAAATTTTCTGCTATAATGGCATGGACTAAATCCGGTATGTCTTTAGTGTTTATCTCATGACCTTATTCTATCCCACGGGTTCTTAGGTTTGCTCTGCTCATACACAGAGTTCTGAGAACATTGTGCTCCTGCTCATTTGGTTTTTCTTTACTGATGTTTGAATGTGCATTTTATCAACCTCACCCTTCATTTTTGATGACTTCTTCTGCCTGGTTAATTCTATTAATGTTGTTTTCTGTTTGAGTTTTTCATTTCCAGGACTTTTTTTTTTTTTTTTTCAAAACTTCAAATTCCGAGTTCAGTTTTTCCCCACCCTGATGAATTTTCATCCACACTGTTGATTTCCCTCCATATTGATGACTTCTTCCTTTGTGTTGCTTACTTTCAGAGGATTCCAGGACCTCTGTTTATATTCTCTTTCATACTTGATCAGACTCACCAGGAAACTCTTGCAATCTTCATCTGTCATTTCACTCAATTCAATGTATTTGAGTTCAACAGTTGAAGAATTATGATCTTTTAAAGAAGTCATGCTGCTTTGCTACCCCACCCCCATCCATGTTTCTGGTAGATTCTGTGTTACAATTTGTGTGTTGTTGGCTCGGGTATCTCTTCTGGCTTGTTCTTACTGAGAAGTGTACTGTTTTCAATTCTTCTCTTTCTCTCTCTCCTCTTTCCTTCCTTTCTCTCCTCTCCCTTCTCCCATGTAGCCCAAGCTGGCCTCCACCTCAAGATATAGCCACAAATAGCCTTGAACTCATGCCTTTCCTTCCCTCTTGTCTCTACTTCTAAGTCCAAGGGATACAAGCATTTAACTAACTCATTTTAGATGGCCCTAGGGTACTATTATTCCAGGCAAGTACTCTATCAACTGAGCTACATTCCCAACCCCCTTAAATTTTGACCACTGGGGAAATACTAGCACCCCCACACACACACTTTATGGTATTGGGGATTTGTGCTTATGAGACAAGCATTTTACTATTGGACTGAGCTGTAGCTCCAGCCCTGAGCAGCCTACCCTGGAAGGCTCAGTCCCAAGTTCAGCTCCACAAGGAGAAAACACACCACTGTTGGAAGTAGCTACCGCTTCTCCTCCCTCCTCGATAAGAAACTGGGCAGCTCATGATGTTAAACTTCCTTTTCTATTTCACCCCATTTTTTCCAACTCTTTTCAGCTATCTTTTTACTTCCTTTGTTTATTCTATCATTGCACACAAAAATAAGCAACAATTAACACTGGCTACAGAAAAAAAAATCCTCCTTAATTTCTAAAGCATCTTAATATGAACACCCTTGACAATCTTAAAAGTATATATAAATGAAGTATATCCATATAATTTAATGATAACATAGCCCAATAACCTTATGATTTATGCTCAGAACTTTCTATTAAATCTAAATAAGATCTTCTGGATAACTCCAGTAATAAAATATTAAAAGTTTTAAATGCTGTAAAAGAAATCTTTCCATAATTTTTGCTCTACACTATATAAACTTTAAAATATATCCTTTTCATATTGATATGGTCTCAAATATAATATATAATAGTCAAAAGATCTCATGACTTCAGTGTGGCTGTCCAAATCTGGCAGTATCCAAAGGCAAATATAAAGATATCACCTTGCAGCTCTGACAGTTGGATGTAGCATGTAGAGAAGGGGAGAGACTGTCTTCCAAACAATGAGTCTCAGTAAAGCAAATGTAGAGCATGTCAGAGACCAGAGAGACACACCTATCCTCAGTTCTGACAGCTTTTGCATGCCGTGGGACTAGAGAGGGCATACACGAGGCATTAATTTGTTTGTAATTTCAAATTCTAAGTAGTGATGCAATTGTAATTATTTCATTAATCTACATTTTTACAGTCTGAAATAGTGAGTAATTAAAAAGCAGACTCACCTATCAATTACAATTTCCTTCTGCCTTAGAAGTCCTTCTTTTATTTTCAACACTGATTCCCACTTACTGAAATCCTGAAAGCCAGAAGGTGAGTAACTCTGACGAGATGATCCAGGTAAAACCTGCACAAAAAAAGTTTATACATTTAGTATGCTATCTAAAGGGGACACTTACAGATAATACAGTATTTCCCCAATGGTTTCCATTTAAAAAAGAAAAAGAAAAATAGATCTTTTTCTCTTCCCTCTCTTCCTCGTCCCTAAAAAAAGACTATCTAAAAGCACATACACAGAGCAAGCCAGCAAGCCAAAGAAGGAGCCAGCAAGCAGTTCCTCCATGGTTCTGCCTCCTGGTTCCAGCCTTGAGTTCCTGTCCTGACCTGTAATGATGGATTCGCTTAGGATGTCTTCCTTGATCAGGTATTATTTAATACAATATAAAAGCTCTTTAGTAGCTAGAAGTAGTAAACTATCTAAACCTTTCCTGCCTACTTCTCAGTCTCCTGAAGAGGGCTATTTAAAGGAGGGTGAAGACACACTAAGAAGTACAAGATCTCAGAAAGACCAGCTTTGCTAGCACTTCTACCGAGTGCTTCACAGAGTGTAGGATGGAGACACGCCTTCAAACTGTATTATTTTCTCTATGGACTTTTAAAAGAGAGGCTCTCCAAACTGACGATTCCCCATTGTATATATACTCTATGGAGCAGTATACTGTGAAACATTCCTCTCGCACCATAATCATGCTTTATGAATCTATCAAAATACATTGCGAAATGCCCCTAGAGGGTGCACTGGTGCTAATGGCTAAAGAACTGAGAAGGTTTTCCCTGAACAAAGCACTGGAACTTCTGAGGGCAACTGAACTAATAGATAACTTCCTGGTCCAGGGTCACCTGGCCAGTTACTCTGTGCTGTCTAGCATTTGGTATCTTCTTTTCCTGTTGAATGAGGGGAAGCATTTTTACAGGGACGAGCTGGACCTGCTCGTAGACTACATAATGACCAGGAAAGAGCACTTGCAAGGACTGGCCAACCCAACGGTCTGCTTCCAGTGCTTCCCCTTCTTCAGACAGCTCCTTTAGGAAGTTCCTTTAGATGGCTTACCATGACTACCAAAAGACCACTATTTTCAGAGAAACCAAGCCCTTTAATACCACTGACAGATCTTTCCCGGTCATTGCCACACAAGTGGGCAGTTCAACCCATATCCTTTCAGAACCAAAGGGTGAATTGTGAAGCCTGAAGAACAAGATGGCTGTGGCCCAAATGGCAGCTTCACCTCCTTCACAGACGGGGCCCTTGCCTTGCTGCAGCACTCATGCCTAGGCTCTGAACACCAACACCACTGCAGCTTTCTCTGGCATACAGTGCCAAGGAGACTCTCTCACCTGTGGAGGGTTTTAATGACAAGCTACATAGTTGTAGGAATCATCATTAAAGACATTGGACCTTAAAGATACTCAGTTATGTATTAAAATGCAATAAAACTTACATAAAAAAACATACTAACAAATAAGAATTTCAAGTACTTTCCAAAGTATTTAAGTCCAATGAAGAATTGACAATAAAAGTTTCAAAAGTTCTGGCTATTTGTAGCACTATATATATGATCTTACATTCATCATCTTGTCTAAGTAGAAGTTTACTGAAAACAGGTCAGTTATTACCTCAGGAAGCAGTACAATGAGGAAACGTTCTATGGCTCAGACAAATACTACCAGGAGGGTTCCCACAGGAAAGACATAAACACAGTACCTGAGTATCCAGACTCTAAACTGTCATGATCATATCATCATTCAATTTCATTAAAATTTCAAAGTCACAAATATTTTCCCAAGGTATAAAACATTACTCACAAATAATTATTATGCAGATAATTTAGATGGCTATTTGTCTCCATTATAATTACAGAATCTAGCAATAATATATTTAGACTTTAAGAAAATTTTCAGATACTTAACATATAGCAACAATAATAAAAATCAATATGGCAATGCCAGAAAACTGGAAAGCAGTCCTTGAGAGGGAGGTAAAAAGAGGCTTTAGCTGGGCATGGTGGCTCACGGGAGGCAGAGGCAGGAGGAGCTCTGTGAGTTCTAGGCCAGCGTCATGTACAAAGTGAGTTCCAGGACAGCCAGGGCAGTAATACAGAAACCCTGTCTCAAGAAACAACAAACAAATAAAAGAGGCTTTAAAAGTGACATGAACGTAGAAGGGGGTACTGGGAGTAAAAAGGTCAGCAAGGAGGAAGGGGTGAGGAGACGGCGAGGAGGAACGGGGGAGGAGACGGCGAGGAGGAACGGGGGAGGAGACGGAAAAGGTGCGGAGGGAGGCCTAGTCAAAACTACATGAATGTATGAAAAACACACAATGAAGCTTGACACTTGGTAAACTGATTAAAAAGCAAGAGAATCAGCTGGGCAGCGGTGGCACGCAACTTTAATCCCAGCACTCGGGAAGTAGAGCCAGGCGGATGGATCTCTGTGAGCAAGATCCAGACCAGGCCAGGCACCAAAACTACACAGAGAAATCCTGTTTTAAAAAACAAAAAAATGAAACAAAAGGCAAGAGAAACTGAATGAAATATTCTGTTTGGAATATATAAAGTTGCTACCAAAAAACATGGGTTATTAAATAAAATTTCAGTGCCACAGGTGGGTTCTCTCTCTACAAGTTGTTGGTTTGGGAGATTCAAGTCCCCTAAAATAATACAGGCAATTGCCGCCACCACTGTTTGCCCACCAGACGGGAAACCTCTGTTGCTGAAGATACCATGTGCTTTGTTTGCAGGACAGAGAATCAACCTGGACCTCACTTTAAGCTCCCTTCCTGCTGACCAGCGTCCATAGTGCTAGAAGGTGCTGAACTGGCTGCTGAAGGTAAACTGTCATCCACAGTGTTCATAGACCCTGCATGCTACACTAACACTAGCTAGGCAAAATGTACCCACTGGTGCAAGAGTGGCAAGTCTGTTAGGGGAATCCAACCACGTTTCGATTGAATCTAAGGTCTAATCCACAGGAGAAAATTTATGTCTGGCACTATAAACACGGTCACAGCTTATGTACATCTGCTATCGAAGCACTCAAGTATTTTCCTTGTGGTTGATGACTTAGCTCCACCCACTTCCTTTCATTTGCTCTCCCCATGGCCTAGCCCACTGTGGAGAACATTCCCACAATGCAACAACTAAGGAGCTATGTCCCAGCATACCAAGGATCCTTGAGGACTCTATTCCATCTACAAATGGCATCCTCTTTTTGACTAGCTACTTCTTGCACAAATCAGCCCTCCAAACACTTTCAGTAGACAGAACTACAGATTCAGGCAGCCCAACAAAGAATACCTACTCTTCACACAACATAGCCTCAGACAATGCACTAACTAATGGCTTATAGCATACAATCTGAGAACTGTGTTTCAGTGTTTATATCCTCTGCCTGCTTTATAACAAAAGAAGCTACATAGCAGATAACTGTCTCCTCACAAACCCATAACACTACTTTTTACATATCATTGGCTGAATTTTCTCTCCATAGCTAAGAATATCCTTCAGGGAAAGCCTTTGCTTACACTGTTGTGCTTTATTTTGTTTTAAATGCCTGTTGGCAACACGAAAATAGGAATTAAACAGAAGGAACAAGGGGTCTGCGAGAAGATGACACCTGACAACACTACTTGATCTCACACACTGTGAGCCAGTGGCAGAATGGACCACTAAAGGACCTGTCATGTACTTTCATGAACATACATAACTAAAACTAAACATACTGTCTGATTCTCACTTATAATCTGTGGTGATATACTGTGTACCCTAATAAACTTTGCCTCAAGATCAGAGGATGGAACAAGCCACTAGATTAAACATACAGGCCAGGTAGTGGTGGCACACACCTTTAATCTTAGCACTTGGGAGGGGGAGATCCCCCTGGACTACATGAGATGAACTCAGTGTAGGAGAGAAACAGAACCAGGCAATGGTGGCACACACTTTTAATCCCAATACATGGGAGTCACACGCTTTAATCCTAGCACTTGAGATCTCATGCCTTTGCTTGGGAAGCACACACGCCTTTAATCCTAGGAAGTGATAGCTGGGCGGAGAAAGGTATACAAGGCATGAGGAGATAGGACTAGACTCTTTTTCAGGCTGAGGAGTTGGTGAGGTAAGAGGTGGTGGCTGTGGCTTGTTCCTTTGTCTTTCTGATCTTTCAGCATTTACTCCAATATCTGCTCCAGGCTTTTTATTATAAGACCATTAGAAATTCAAACAACAGTAATCCTTGATCTAAACCCTTCAGAAACAAAATGAATAGAAAATAGCTATAAAATGAGCAAACCGGGATAAGCAAAACATGTGCCTTTCCCTGTAATTAAGAAGATAACATTATATAAACAATAACCAAAATTAGCAGGAGTCTTCCTTACTACACTTTAACACTGATAAAAAATAAAACACACACACACACACACACACACACACACACACACACACACACACACACACACACAAGTATAACAGCAAAGAACCAAATGTGGCACATAAACTTAAAGGTCCTCCCCCCGTCCCGCCTCCCCCCAAATCCATACCTCCTCTGTTTCTGTTCAGAAAGGGGCAGGCCTCCTATGGGTATCAACAAAGCATGGCATATCAAGTTGAGGTAGGACTAAGCTCCTCCCCTCATATTAAGGCTTGGTAAGGCAATCCATCATGAAGAATACATTCCTAAAAGCCTGTCAAAGCATCAGCCCTCGCTCCCACTGCTAGGAGTACCACAAGTAGACCAAGCTACACAACTGTCACACATATGTAGAGGGTCTAGGTCACCTCCCATGTGGGCTCCTTAACTGCTGGTCCAGTGTCTGTGAGCTCCTATGAGGCCAGGTTAGTTGTCTCTGTGGGTTCCCTTGTGATGACCTTGACCTTCCCTGGCCCATACACTCCTTGCTCCCTCTCTACAACAGGATTCCCGGAGCTCAGGTCAGTGCTTGGCTGTGGATCTCTGCATCTGCTTCCATCAGTTACAAGGTGAAGGCTCTCTGATGACAATTAGGATAGTCACCATTCTGATTACAGGAGATGGCCAGGTTCAGGCTAGTATCCACTATTGTAATGAGTG